TAAGTTTATTTTGATTTTAATAAACTAAACGTTCACCAAAAAAAAACTTTAGTGAGAAAAATCGAAAAAACGAACTACAAACATATTAACGCCAAACATTCGGTAGAATTTATAGAATATTGTAAAAATATATATATATATATATCATTAACCTGAATATCGGCCCAGCATTATTTAAGGTGAATATATTATATTTGACGCAAACATTTCAGGACATAATCGATGTTAATTTCAAGTACTATATTTCAATTCTCATACTAAGATTCCATCATTATATATATATATAATATATATATTATATAAATAAATATATATATATATATAAACACACACACACACACACACACATATATATATATATTAATGCAGTAATTTATAAAAGTTACAAAATTTCTAGCGTAGGATAGTTTTTTTTATTACGTTTCTCAGCATTTTAAACCAAAATAAATAAAAAATGATTGAAAATCACAAAAAGGAGTAAATGCAATTCACGCACTACTTGATAGAAAAATGTTATCAAAATTTTAATGAATAATTTGAATAAAAATCGTTCTGAAAATTCTATCTTATGTTTATTTTTTTTTTACAAATTTAACATATTCAAAACGTCATTTTGAGGCCTAAAAAGCAATAAAATAAAAATTTTTACTTTCGCTATCAGCTGATTAAAAAAAATTAATTTCCGGCGTTTTAGATACCAAAAACCATAAATCACCAAAAACAATAGAACCATAATCGGAGTTATCAGCGCCTTAATCGTCGTTTATCAAAAACTTACTGTAAAAAAATGTAACAAAAAATTTTGTAATGAAAGATCAAAACGAATTAAAGCTAATGGAAGAATTAAAAAAGGAAAGATTAACTCATTGTAAATTTCTAACATGATCGTCGACATCATCACCAACATCCTTCACGATAATCATTACCTGATAATAATAACCATCATTATCATCATCACCATTATCATTCGATTTAAAGAAAGCTTCAACTATTTCAACAAATTTAATTAATGTAATATCAAGCATATTAATCTGACTAATTTCCCGCAAGAATGTTTTCCTCACGCACACACTCACACACGCACACAAACACACACAATATATTTTAGACACACATATGCAAGCACGATTCATTTTCGAATGAAAAAAAATATTATTATTACAGATGGAATTTTTAAAAAAAGTAATAGCAATCTACAAACAATATGTATATATGTGTCAGTGTATGTGTGTGTGTATGTTTTCTAACTATTTTGTCTATTTCACAAAAGATACAAATATTTATTTGAAATAATAGAAAGGGGATACAGAAACAACAAAACAAATTCACTACTTATCTATCTTACAATTTACGCATATGTATATATAATTAAACAATTCTATTAATCATTAAGATTATTCATTTAATTATCTATCTATTGACGTCATCGTTATTAACGTTTTGACGCCATTATAGCTGATGATGATGATGATGATGACGACGACGTTTTTGTTGCGGCTGTGGTCGATGATGACGTCATCATTGTGGCTGTTGTGGTTGCTTTTGTAATTTGCCACTATTAAATTTTGAATTTTGTCGCCAATTATTATTATTATTATAAATATTGATATTATTATTATTATTGTTGTTATTAGAAGCAACAACACTGAAATTAGTAGTGCTAGTTGTCGTTGAAGCAGTGCTGAAAAGTGAACTTTGTTGGGAAATCACTCTACTGCTGCCGTTGTTGTTGTTGCTGAAATTTTTATACTCAAAACTTTTAACAACATTTTTGACACCTGAGATTTTGTAAGAACCATTTTGTTGGTTGTTAACTGTTGTTGTTGTTGCTATTGTTGGAGTTGATGTTGTTGATGTGAATATTGCTGTCGTTGATGTTGTGGTGGCTGATGTAGCGGCGGCAGCAGCAGCAGCAGTAGTAGTGGCAAAGCCTGGCGACTTTGGTGCATTATTTATTGGCAATTTGACGGGACTCTTCTTTGGGATCATTCGAGGCGCTGGTGATGAATTAAAAGTTGTTGTTGATACTTGTGTCGTTGTTGTTGTCATCAATGTTTTTGTCGTTGTTGCTGAGTTTGTTGTTTTTGTATACGTTGATGTGATAAATGAAGATGATACAGGTACAAAAGGTGAGATTGTTGGCGTTGAACACAAGGATGGTGACACTCCTGTGGAAACGGCTGGCAATATCGTTGGGTCTAATACTTTTGAATGGCTATTATTTGTTGCTACTACTGCTGTTGTTGTTGTTATAGTTGATGTTGTTGACGTTATCAAGTATGCAGTTGATGTTGCAAGATATGCAGTTGTCTTTGGAAAATGAAGAGTTGTTGTAGTTGCTTTTCTAACCGAGAGAGTAGGGAAACATTCAGACGAAAATACATTCTGATTTCTCCCATCGACACCTAATCCAGCTTCATCATTTGACGATGACGTTGAAATGACGTCACTAGTTACTTTTTTATCATTCTCGACGAAATTGCTGGTTGATCTCCTCTTTATGACAGCACAATTTACTGAGTAATCATTTGCAGCAGCAGCAGGAGAAGTAGCAGAAGAAGCAGCAGCAGCAGAAGTAGGGTAACAAGCATTGACAGGCTTGTAGAAATAATTGATGTCATCCTTGTTAATCATCGTTTTGTTAATGTCATCGTTGATATCGTTACTTCCATTGCTGACGTCATCAAAGTCGTTGTTGTTGTTGTTAACGCTGTTGATGCTATTTAGGTTTACAGAACTACAATTTGTTGGGCCAGTAACAACAGAATTCATGACCATTTTACCATCATTCTTAGCGTGTAATAGCCCCCTCTTAGTGGCCACAACGACGCCACTACCACCGTTAGTAGTACCAGCAACGGCACCGCGACCACCGCCAGCGACGTCGCCACGACCACCGCCACCACCACCACCACCAACGTTATCATCATCCTCAGCAAAGTTCATCACATCGTCTTCATCATTCGCACTGACGTCATTACTTATGATGTCATCAGCATATCTTTCACCATCTCCATCATAGTTATCGGTGAGAGTAACATTATTAACATTAATACCATTACAACCCTCATTATTATTACTATTACTATTGTTATTATTATTGTAATTATTATTATTATTATTATTGTTGTTGTTGTTGTTACTATTATCGTTAACCGTTGCCATGGGAACGGAGTCAGTGGACCCGATCGATGTTTTGATGATTCGCTTTCGAATGCGTGGCGGAGGATCCAAGGTCGTGTAAACCGGCACCCCGTCCAGATAGTGGTCCGTCGTGTCGTCGCAATCTGATTGGTCGGTTGTGGGTTGGGATTAGAACATTGACTGATTGATTTTTAGTTTTTTTTTCAAGAGGGTGGAATAGGATAGGTTGATAAAAAAAATGTAGAGACAATAATTTGAAATTTTTTAAATTCTTCAACAGGTTAAGTGAAATTTGAAGCATTTAAAAGCATAACGTGTTAAAAATAATGAGAAATTGATAAAGATCGTTTCGAATCACCAACGAATCACAGACCTCCATCCAGCAAATCATCCAATGAATGACTCGTTATAGCCCTTGATATCCTCTTACTCTCGACTTGATTGGTCGGAGATGCGGCTGTCGTCGTCGCCGTCGATGCGGCTTGACAAAGCTGCTGCCTCTCAGTCAGCAATGCATTCAGCCAGGGTTTGTTTATTATCGTGGAAACAGGAATTGAAATACTACGTAATTGTACAGATGATGATGATGATGGCTGTACATTATCATCCTTAGAAGCAACAACAGGAGCAGCAGTAGCAGCAGTAGCAGCAGTAGCAGCTGCTTCATTGTGATTGGTCACCCTTTTTTGGTAGAAGAGGAGGTACGCAGACCTAGTGACAACTTCTTCCTCTTTTATTGGTGTGGCTTTGCTGTCGTTGAAGAGGCACCACATGCCAGTGGCTGGGTTCTTGCAGAAAGCTGCAACAAAGTACATATTCAACATTACTGTTCATCATTTTTTCATAATTGATCCTTCGTTATTACTTCGCTATTTCACCAAATTTTAGACTCAACTAAGTTAAATTAGTCATATGCATAGCTACGTTATGCTGATTGAATAGGACTCATCCAACGACACTTATGTAAACTTATTATAAAAAGCTCTCCAGTAGAAAAATTAAATCACTTGTTACCAACCTGTATAATGCCCTCCCTGCATATCTCCATAGTGATTGCAGACAGCATACAAATCATAGACAGAATCATCGGCAGACGCCTTCCCGTTCAACCTCCACGACAACCAGCTGTTGTTTTGTTGATGGTTTTTTCCCTTGAGCTGCTGAAGCATAGCTGCATTCCAGCTGTTAGAGATGGAGGAAGTAGCCGAGATTGTAGCTGCGTTAGTGGCGCGCATGTGGTAGTTGAGGTCGAGTCCAGTGATGGGAAACATGATGAGGTTGTTCAACTTGCTGTGGTGCTCGTGGTCCTATAAAAAATGTTCATCCATTTTATTTATCTCTGTTAAATATCACCACACACTGTTCAAACAAGATTAATTTGTACTTACCAAAAAAAAAATAATAATAACAATCTCAACATGTTTGTTAGTACTCCCAGATGGAAAAGCATAGATACACACAGATACAAACGTGAACACACACACACGCGTAGAAACAGAGAAACAAACACAAATACAAAAACATACAGACGAGCAAGCAGATATACAAACCTGCCTAAACCTTTTAAGATGAATGACCAAAATTTCGGGAAGTGACCAAAGGGTGAGACTTTTGGTAGTGCCCTGCTGGAAGGCCCTACAATTTGGACAGTGCCAAGCATCCTCACCACTCAGCTGGCAATATAATTATAACATTTATTATTATATTATATTATTTTAAATATTTTATTTTATATTTATATTTTATATATATATTTTATATTTTCTATCTATTTTATAACAGTAGCACCATTCTATTCACATGTAAATAAGTTGGTTGGTCAATTAACCAGTTGGTTAACTGCAATCACCATAATACGTCATCATTATTAATGTAATTATTATTATTATTCTTCCTTTTTCTATCGCATGAACTAACTAATGGTATAGTCCTAAAATCATGTGTTACAAAAACACAACGTAATCATATAATTATTATACTTAATTAGTTAATTATTCGTTATAATTTATCCTATTTACAATCATTAATTTACTATCATAATTAATTAATTAATTAATTACCTTTCATTCATTCACTCATCTGAGCATAATAAAATACATCAAAACGTAAAAATGCACATATACATACAGATGTCTATGAAAATATATGTAAATATAAAACCCTGTATAAACACGTACACAAACAGGCACACACACACACACATACATACACGTACACACCAACTCACACACACACACACACACACACATACATACACACCAACTAACACACACACACACACATACATACTCGTACAAACACACCAACAAACACACGCACACGTACACACACACGCACACACTCTAAACTATTCAATGACAGGAAATAACAAACGTTGTTTTTCAGTCCTTATACAAATCATATTATATATTATCACATTGGTATTGTCAACAAAAAATAAAAAATAATGACATTAATAATAGCAACAATAACAAAAATAGTAACAATAACAACAACAACAATAATATTAATAATAACAATAAAAACACCTTTTCTTCTTGGGTGTAGACCTGAAAGCACTCATCCAGTGTTCCCAGGTTCGAATGCATCTGCAGCGACTTCACTTCGGCCACACTTTCGTCATCTTTCACGTTTTCTTGCAGTAGGATGCTTCGAAATGAAATTAATTATAAAAAACTTTAACGTGAAAAAGTTAAACAGATCAGTCAAGTTTCTGATGTGTTGTTTATTACAAACCATTATTGAGTCAATGTTTTAACCTCAGATGCGTTAGTCAATAAACTGACTGAAAGTACTAAACTAAATACTAAATATCAATCAACCAATCGAAATTCCACTGACCAATGAGGAGAAGGGAGAGGGTTGTACCATTTGACCAGCAACTTCAAAATCGGAGAGATGCCAGCATTCAGGGAGTAATACAAAGATCTTTAAAACAAAGTATGTAGCAAAATAAAAAAGCAAAGAAGCATAAAACAAACAAATAAATAAATAAAAAAGCGACTCAATTGATTGAAAATAAATTTTTAAAATTTTAAATTTCCTCACCGTTTTATTTGTTCATTTATAAAAGGTTGGATCACATTGACGTCGTTGTCAACGTCATCAATGACGTCACTGGCTTCAACAGTAGCAGTAGTAGTAGCAGCGGTAGTAGTAGTAGTCGTAGTAGTTGTATTTTGTTTTTCACCTTTTAGTTGTATTACATTGTTATCCAAGGTGATTTCATAATTCATCTGAATTAAATTTTAATTATAAAAAGATCAATCAATTATTAGTCGTTAAATTGGTCAATCAGCAACTCATTCATTCGTTCATTCATTCATTAATTCATTCATTCAAACAGTTAGTCAGTCAACCAACCAATCAACCTATTAATTAATTAATTAAGATAATTTTCATTAAAAAATTTATCAGTTATATCAGTAGCCATAGAAATAATTGACTGATTGAAAGATTGATTGACTTGATTGTCTAACTGGAGTGACTGAATGACGGATATATTGAATGAATGAATCAAACGTCATATAAACCAACGAAGACATTTTAATCTAACAACAAACAAACAAACAAAACACACCAAAAAACAAAAAAAAACCTTGAAGCCATGATGATGATGATCTTCAATGACATCATCATCATCATAAATAACATCATCATCACCATCATCACCCTCAATGGCCCCAATCGAATTCCTGATGTACGAGTCCAATTGTCGACAGGTCATCAGATTTGAAACCTCTATCACATAAGGGATACTACACCTACAATTTTAATAATTAGGTAGTAAATTTCTATACACATAAACTTGTATAAAGTTAAAATATTGAATGCAGAATATCAAACTAACTTCACATCCTTATCACCGTCAGAGCATAACTGATGTATTAGTACAATCAGGGTTGAATTATCAAGAGCAGAATCACCACCACCATAATCATCTTCCTCATCATTTATTTTATTATCCGTAGGAACTTTGTCATTCTTACTAGCATTATTACTTTTAATGTAATCAGAATTATTCTCATTGTTATCGTAGTCATTATTACTTCTATTATTGTTGTTGTTGATGTAGGCGTTGTTGTTGTTGTCACTGCTAACATCAACAACGCCATTGTAATTACTATGATTAATGTTGTTTTGCTCTGTGACATTTTGTACTGTATTGTTGTTATAATAATTACTGCTGTTATTATTATTGTTGTTGTTGTTGTTATTGCTATTCCTGGTGATGATTTCATTTGTATCTTTGGTGTTGAGATTATTAGGTGACAACGTGGTGGAAGCGGAGTTAGTTGAGTGACAGCTAATTAGCATATTTTGATTGACATCTGCAGGGTCGTTTGAGATAGATTGTGATTGTTGTTGCTGGTGTTGTTGTAGATGTGGATGATTTTGTTGTTGTTGTAGTTGACGTTGCCGTCGTTGTTGAAAGCAAATCTGTCTATCTGGAATTTGAATGGCATAAATCTTTTCATTGTTTATCGGGTCGCTGAGCAGTTTGTAATCCTCCAAAATCTGGAAATCCCCGTTTCCTCTTGATTCTATAATTAGCAGCTACATCACGTGATTAAAAGGTTAAAAATATAGATCTAACTAATAAATCAATTTACAAAGAACAATTTTTTTTCCATTCATCTGAACAACAAAAACTCACTTTATCAGTACTGCAGTGAAATTTAAAATCATCATCATCATCGTCCTCTTCATCGTCATCATCATCAGCAGCAACTTTACAATAGGCAATGAAATTTGTATTCATATTATTATTATTCATATTATTATTTTTGTTATTGCATTTTTTATTCTGGTTGCTACTATCAACCAGGGCATTTTTCAAATCCCTGACGGTGTGACCTCTATCCAGACCGACACCCTTTCTTCGTGTTCTCCATTTTAGCTTCCTCCTCTTTCTTTCAGATCTATCTCCCTCACCAAGCCCAACAACATTAACATTATTTACATCAGCTATGCTGCTATTATTAACGTCGTTATTACGAAAACCATCACACGGTGTTGCTATATTTGATTTTTTCGTTCGTCGTCGTCGTTTGATGCATGTGACCAGGACATATTGGACCGGGGATGTGCGAGGAATGGGCAACGAGACAGAGAGGAAAGGATCAAAAGTGTTGCTCTGCTGACTGCAACTAGGGCAGGTCAGGGAGGATCGATACATGGCTTGGAAGAGGTCGTGGATGAAACTGTTGTTGCATCTCGAATGGTTGGCCATTGCTTCTGCTGCTACGTCGTCGTCACATCGACCGATGCTACTCTGTTTGGTTGTGTGTGTGTTTTTGTATATTGATATGTATTGTTGCTTCAGTTGATGTGACAAGAATTGGTGGTGACAGTTTGATTTATGCAACATGACAAATGTGCTCAGTGAAATTTGATGTATAAACATGGTGATGCTGGCTGACTGGCTGGCTGTTGTTATGATGTGATGTGGATCTATATTACAAAAGCAATATTGATGAGGAAGTTATTGATTAAACTAGAAAGTAAAAATTTCACTTCAAAACAGTTGAAAAAAACAACTTTTCAACAAATTTAAATTAAAACATAATAAGAAATAGTTTCAAACCTTGTTGGCCCTGTATTTCTTCTTGGTGGCAATGTTCAAATCTTCATGAACCTTATCGAGGAGCCAGATGAGGAACTCTTGAACATCATGTTGGAAGTTTCCTCTGTACTGACTGCCATATTTGGAGACAATTGCCTTGAAATCAGTTGACTTGTCCGCTGTGTACCTAATTGTTATTTATGAGGAAGATTTCACAAGTCATTCTACATAATAATAAATAGAAATCACTAAATTGATTAAAAATGGAACAAAATAAATTCTTAAAACACCCTAAAATTAACTTTACTAAGCTATCAAATAAATTACACTAACTGATTCATCCATAAACTTTTGAGTAGGACGGCCAAGCTTTCAGTGAGTTCTCCCTTGGTACCAAACCTCTTAGCATTATACTTATTGGCTCTTTTGATGTCCTCCTTGTACTGCTCACAGAGGAAGTAACTCAACAGTGGTTCTGTGTTGCTCAAGCATTGTATCACAGCATTCATGAAGCAGGTGTTGCCGTGGTTTTGAATGCCTACTATGCCGGGTACTTCATTTAACTTCACGTAACCATTGTTGCAGTTCAATTCCGTGAAGGATCTATCTAACGTGTTGCTGTTGCTGGCATTGGAACTGTTGTCTGACTTGCGACCCAATGTCAATTGGTCAGTGGTTCCTGAGGAAGAGTTGCTGGCAGATGAAGAGGAACTTTTTGAAGTGAGTTTTATTTTGACTCCGTTAGAAGCAGCAGACGACAACTGGCGTGCGACTCTCTGAATGAAGGAGCCAACGGATTTGAACACTTTCTTTGCTTTTAGTTTTCCCTCCATGGATGAAGCATTGTATGAATGCATGGAGAAATTTTCGGGCAACGAATCGACTTTTCGATTAGCAAAATTGAAATTTTCCGATGCGTCCATCTGGTTGTCGACGTCGTTGACGTCACTAACGTCAACCTCTCTACTTTCCTTGATGTATCTCGGCAGACTCAAACTTCCTGACTTTGAACTGGCCGTCCTGCCGACGTCCCCATCATTTTGATTAACATCATCTTCTACAGGTAAATTGTGTCCGCCTAAAACAACCATATTTTTCTCCATTTTATAAAAACAAAATAAAATAATTCATTCGCTCGTCACACGAACCACGATATGCACAGACATCGTCATATCATATGCAATGAAAATGTACACGAAACTACATTTAGTAGAGTGTTTAAAACAAGCTTATTCGATTTAATTTCGTTTGGAACCGAAAGGTTCTAAAAATAATTTTCAAAATCGCCTAACGCCACTAAGTTGTAGACAAAAGCCGACGCAGAATTAAGGCGAAAATGTTAATAAAATTTATTAAATAAAAAGAGACTCAATGTCGTAAACAAGAAAAATAAAGCAAATATGAAAAACGTTTAAAAAAAGTCATTCAATCTTTTCCTCGTCATCTTTCACAGTCTTCAGATTGACAACTTCCACAGAACCCTTGCCTTTGGAGTCAGTTGAAACGACGTTACTAACTTCACGAAACGCTCCGGGATCGACGAGGAAGACCTTGAAATGCAAGTAAAGCAGATCACATCAATGCACATTACGGGCACCGAGTAAAAGTCGTTACATGACAATTTGCCACGTTATGGCCTAATGGTTAAGGTTGCCTGGTCCCATTATGCAGTGACCGGGTTTGAATACGGCAAAAGATATCCTCGCCTATCACATGCATTGTAAACGAAACATGCGTCGTTTGGCATGTGATCATAAAGTCTTTGATTCCTCTGAACGTTGGTACAGTGTAATAGGTAGGTAGACCTTAAACAGGCAGGTGCACAAATAGTTTCATCAACAGATGAACTATATATTACAATAACACAAAATAGTTTTGCGTAAACATCTTTCAATTGATTCAGTTAATTTGATTGAATAGAGTAGTTGACTCATTAACTTACCATGTGGAGATCATCATCGAATGCATCCTCTTCAATTTTTGAAGCCAACTTTCTTATCTTCTCTCTAACTTTCTTACCATCTTTAGCTGTGAAATGGTTGAAGTGTTTACAAAATAACATTGTAATGCCGAAAATGCACAAAACAAATCATTGCATTTGCTACAAATTGCTACCTGAAAGTAACTGACTAAGTAACACAGTGTGGAGTATTAAAGAAAAGATAAAAGCAAAAGCAGCATGCAACAACTGATTAAATAAGTCATTTTCAAATAATTATTTCCTATTTTTTTAAATGAACATTTTTAACGAACTAAAAATCAGCAGATGATTATTGACACAAACCTGGGACATGGACTTTTAGCCTCATTTGAGCTCTTTGAATTTTTATATTTCCTGAAGCCATGAGCAGCTTGATTGCTTCTAATGCCTTGAGAAATGACACATTCAACTCAAGTTAATATACTTATAAAAAATTCTAAGCATTCAATACATAAAAATCATTTTATCAAAGATGTATATAAATTAAGCTTCACTATTAAGTGAACAATTCAGAAGAATATTAGTAAGGAAAGCAGAGAAATTTACTTGTTGTTTAGAGTTTTTGTTGGGTTTGACAGAAAAGTGAATGTCTTTCAATGTTCTTTCTATGAGAGTAACAGGGTAAGGTCTGTTCGTGTCTGGATTGATGCATTTGTCAGCCACTACTGTTGCTATGTCTCTGAAGGATGATTCTATGTTGGCACTCCTCTCTTTTTCTGAAACTTGTAACTCACCTTTTGACAAGATCTTTAAAACATATAGTTTAGTATAGTCAGATTAGATGAATTATAAAAGACATATGAATTATTAGTAATAACAATTTGATTAAAAACCTGTAAGCAAATTTCTTTTTGGTCATCTGTGCCAAATGCAGCTTTTAGATCATCTGACTTTGCCATCTGCCCTTTTGATACATTCATGAAAACCATGTTTGTTTGTAAAACTTCATTTATATCGGTTTCTCTGCAATTTAAAAAGACGTTTCAAAAAATATAAATGATATTGAAAATTTTAAATCAAAAATTTTACAAAAATATATTATTGCCACAGCCAGTAAACATAATAATAACATAAATAATGATAATCATCAGAAAATAAACATCAGAAAAGAATGCATCACCGACACTTTACTTCTCCATGACGTCACTTTGTTGGGGTAGCATGCGATTTCGAAACGTTTTCCACCCTTCTTTAATCTCACAACAGCCACGTTTGTCAATCTTTTCTGGTTCGTTGGAGTGAAAATTCCTGCCATGGTCTTCCTTGGAATATTGTTTCGCAATACGATTACTATGACACTCGAAATTAGATTGATGTTAAACTTTAATTTTATTTAATAAATATATAAATATCATATATAATTATATATTTATATATAATTATATATATATATATTGGATCATAAATATAAATTTAGCGTTAGAATTTGTTTGTGTTTGTTACGTAAATGCATTGAATCACATAGAAAAAAGATATCTACCATGCATTATTTACCATCTGCACGCTAAACTACATATATATGACAAATATATATATATAGCCCGAACTTTGTATTCTTAACAGTAATTCATTTTAAATTTTAGAAAGATATATAATGAAACACGTTTGTTATAACTGGCTGTCAAAATACATTTTAACATGGGGTAAGTAAATTTTAAATACTATAGTGAGAATAATTCAAATTAATTTACGATCTTCACATAAAATTCTATTCTACTTGAAATATTTTTTTAAAGAAATTGAACTATAGCATCTGAACTAAACGTGAAATTGGAAGTATTTATGTCAAATAGTTACTTGCTATCAATATTACTTGCTATTTGTATTTGATGATTTTTTTGTATAATATATGTATAATGTAAGGAAAGTGTGACTAATATTAATTTGTTGTTGCCTCTACGTAGAGCTTTTGATAGGAAGAATACGATACAATAAAAACAATCCCAGTTTAAATCCAATTCTATGCTATTTTTAAATGTAGTTTAAGCAAAATTAATTTATTCGTATGTCTTGTAGTCTATTTTTCATCAAATATGCTTGTTACTGCATTTGGATTCTATATAGTATAATAATTTGTACAAGTATGTAAAATTTCAAAGGTTTATTTTATGGCACCTATTGTATAAAAAGTTTCCTGGATTAATTTCTTGCCGTTTTGACTTTGCTAACGTTAAAATAACATTTCCAGCCTCTTAAAATTTGTCGGATTTTATCTGAAACATGATTAAATAACTTATCAAAAAATTATATAATCACATTTTTGTTGTTAATTTTTTCAAAATAATTTTTTGAATATTATTTTTCATGGATTCAAGTTCCCAAAGCTCAACAAAGAAAAAAACCATGTTAGTACTTTTTTGTTTCCTGATCTCAGTTTCATTTCATTTATTATTATTTTTATATTTCATTCGTCGTTCAATTAAATAATAATTAAAATAAATTCATTACAAAGAACCCAAGGTATCAAGGAAAGATTCTCAGTGTTGCGTCACAGCGGTGGCAGTAACAGCAGCCAAAACAACAATGGCAGTGCCACAAATTCACTCCAGCTGCCAACTGCTTCCTCATCTTCTTCACTATCCAACAGTACTGGCAGCATCAACAACAACACTACCACCACAAACAACAACAACAACAGTTGTTGCAGTAGCACTAATACTAATAAAGGAGGTACTAGCAACTATAACACAAACAGAGACAGCACTGCAAAACCTTCAAAACCATCTGCTGAGATGGTTTCTCTTTGGTTTCAATCTTTTGACAATCTCCTCCATGATAAAAGTGATTTTTTTATTCTTCTTTAACTTAAGTTTTTTATTAATATTTTAAATTACACTAATTTTCAAATGTTTTATTTAATTAAATTGGTTAAATTGAAAATTTTTTCAAGCCGGCCTAGATCTTTTTCGAGAATATTTACGACTGGAGTTCAGTGAGGAGAATCTAGAATTTTGGATTGCCTGTGAACAGTACAAAACTTGCCCAACTCATGAACTAGCTCAGCAGTCCCAACAAATATTTGCTGATTATGTTGCCATACAAGCACCTAGAGAAGTATGTAGTGGTTCGTGATGGTGCTGCTTATCTTTATGTGTGGTGGTCAGTTTGTCATGTGGTTGATGGTAGTAAATTTGTATGTGTAGTGGTCATTTTGTTATGTGCTGGTCACTTTTCTTCTTGCTACATTATTATTCTCACTTTACCAATCTTTAAGATTTTCAAATCAATTAAAATCTATTTATACATCTTATTCTTTTTTCTGCCCAGATAAACTTAGACTCCAAAACTCGAGATGAGGTGTACAAACGGATATCAAAGCCGGACAAGAAGACATTTGAAGATGCTCAATACAGAATACAGGCCCTCATGGCCAAAGACTCTTACCCCAGGTTTATGTCGTCAGAATTTCTTAAGAAGTGGTTAGCCCAGTTTAAAATAAAAATCAATCAAAGCCAAAAAAAATAATTTTCTATTGGAAAAAATATTTTTGTTGCATTTTCTGTGTGTCTGTGCGTGTGTTTGTTTTACTGTCTGTCATCTTTGTATTGGCCTGGAATTCTTAGCAAATTTCAGTGTTATTTCTGATTGGTTATCCTCAAATTTTACAATCAGGGTTTGCTCTTATGTGTATATTAAGTTTTAAAGTTTGTTCATTCATTTGTTCATTCATTCATTCATTTATTCATTCATTCATTCATTTACTTATCCATCCATCCGTCCATCAATCTATCCATTCATTCCCCCATTCTTATAATTTATTCATTCACTAATTTGTTCATTCAATATTTCATTTTTTTTTTTCGTTTATCTTCCTTGCAACAGTTACTTTCTTTCTAATTGCATATAACAAATTTCTCACAAGCCAGCATGCATCTATTGAAGCAGATAAAGCAATAATTATTTCAGAAAAATTGTAACCATTGGTGCTGATGATAAAAATGCAAGTATGCCAACTTCTGCATGTTCGCTGTCCATCAATGACTGTTTGTTACCAAATTACTATGTGTTATGTTTTCTTTAAACGTTAACATGAAAATGACTTGAAAAAACTATGTGGGTACACGTATGTGTGCGTGTATATGTGTGTATCTGTGTGTATATGTGTGTATATCTGTATGTGTGCGTGCGTGTGTGTACATATTTTACTATTTATTACTGTATAAATATATAAGACTTACAAAATGCACATATAGACATGCTCACAGCTCACATATTTAAGCATATGCATATACACAAACAAAAAACACATATATACACACACGCATATATATATATATATATATATATATATATATATATATATATACATATATATATATTATGGTTTGTTTTGTTTGTCTGTGTCTGTGTGCGTGTGCGTGTTTGTGTTTGTGCTAATGAAATATCTTAGGATGAGCGTTTTTCCATTATTTTTTAACGTTTGTTCTCATAAAAACTATTTTTTTTAGGTTATTTGTTTATTATTATTCTTGTTGTTGTTGTTGTTGTTGTTATTATTATTATTATTATTATATGTATTATTTGCAGTTTTTCAAATTCTCTGCCTGATGTATTTACGTTGTTCTAGAGAAGATTGTTAACACATATGCTTTTAATTATAACTATTATTGATTTGTTTTTATCATTATTCTGTTTATTAATATTATTATTATTATTATTATTTGTTTATTCATTTATTTATTCACATAAAAAGTTCACTAGCATATAACTGACTGCGTTACCAGCAATGCTAATATACTTGACATGTGTTCATACATAAGTTATTATTATTATTTGTTATTATTATTTGTTATTTATATTATTACATCATTATTATTGTTATTGTTGCTATTATTTCTATTTCTTTTCTTCTTTCAACATACCGCAATACAGAAAAAAAAATTTTTATGGGATTTATGTATTCTTTTTCTTCCTATTTTTCAATCATGTATGATTAAGGAGACTAATACAACAGTATTGTTTTGTATAAATTCGTTATGTATTGTTTTGTATTGTATATATTGTATTGTATGTTTTGTATTTGGTATCTGTATTGTATTGTTTTTGTTTTCTTGATTTTTCAATCAGTATCTGACTTCAGTGATTCTACTTACTTTGCATTTTTTAAATTATGATACTATTACTGCTGCTGCTGGTAATATTACTACTACTATTACTACTACTACTACTACTACTAATAGTGATAATACTAACAATTCAACTACTACTAATACAATGTTTTTTAAAATTTGTATACTATCTCAATTTGTATTTTTTTTGTAATATTTTTCAGTTTTATCCATGTGTTTTCATGTTTTCATCTATTTTTATTTTCATACACAGACACACACACACACAGACACACATGCACACTCGCGCGTGTATACATTCAGATATACAATGTACTTACTTTTTTTCTCTCTTTCAACCCTTCTATTTGGCAATAATAAAATCTGGGAGCGATTTCTACTGTAACTATTTTATTACAATTTTCGCATCATGTTCAAACCAAGCATACACGCTTGCACGCACGCACACACACGCATGCGCGCACAGACACACATTTAAACACACACACGCGCAAACACACACACACATTCGTATGTTTTTTATTTTTTTCCAATGTTTAGTTAACCTTTCTGTCTATCTATCTGACTAAATATATAATACATATAATTTATATATAATATATATATATATATATACATATAGTGCGATATATATGTTTATATTATAGTATGTAAGTTATAAACTTAATATATACATATATATGTCTTAATATATGTTTATGTTATATTGCTTGTGAAAATACATTAAGTTGACAGCAATTAGCTATAATTAAATTTAATGATAATATTATATTATTGTTGTTTTTATTATTATTTTGGTGAAGATGACGATGATTAGATAATGACCATGATGATGACCATGATGATGATGATAAGAGTATTGATAATGATGATGATAATGTCGTTTTCTGTAATATTTATGGTTGTGGTGGTGATGATTTTTGTGGTGATGATGATGATGATTCTGCTCATCACTTGAGTGCCTCTAATGATCCTACAATGCAATGATGTATTCATTTCTTCGTTCATTCGTTCTTTCTTTCTTTCATTTTTTATTGCTTCTTTCTTTCGTTCATTCATTTTTAATTATTATTTAATTTGATTCAATTTAATTAACTTAATTTATGTTATGTACCTTATTATTATTATCGTTTTGTTGTTTTTTGATTTTATGACTCCATACAAAATCAGTATTCGGTATTATTACCATCGTTATTATTTTTATGATGATTATTATTATTATTATTATTGTTATTATTATTATTATTATTATCATCAGAGATGCACCGAATAGTTAGTTAGTCGGTCCACTGTTTGACCGGAGCCGAGGTTTGAGTACCAAAAACCCGCAATTTTAGACAAATATGTCTTTATAGAATGAAAGACAAGTCGTTGAGGAAAACAGTTGGCTAGCTGGATCTTGTTCAAATTCAGATGTTGGTCAAAATGGCCGAAATAAATTTTCCGCAAATATAATAATAATGATAATAATAATCAAAAATTATTGTTCTGGAATTCAAACAAGTTATGTAATGACCGCTGCCGAATGCCAAATTTCGACCGATAACTTGGTGCGTCTCTATATTTATAATTAATAATACTACCATCATTATTACAGTTACTGTAAATAATATTATAAACTACATGCTTAATAGTCAGTATTATTCTTACTACTTTTATTACTGCTTAACTGTTACTACTACTACTACTACTGATGTGATTGGTACACTAAGTAACGTTGATGAAGAAAGATTTTACTATTTATATTACTTTTGTTAATGTTGTTTTGGCATATGGTTTTAAATCTTGAAGAATGAAATGTGTTTAAATGCGTCAGCATGCATTGACACACACACACACACACACATACGTACATACATATAAACAAACATACAGACCAGCAAACATAGATAGATACACACACACACGCACACACATATTTACATACATACATAGGCACAGGCAAAACCCGAAAAAGTGTTTATTATGATTTATTTTAATTGCAATGCAAATGCAACCGCCGATTACTGACTTGTAAACAAACACCCATGATGTGTGATGTTTTCATGCATACGTACTTGCAAACGTACGTACATGTGTACAAACATACATGTGTACAAACATACATGTATACAAACATACATGTATACAAACATACATGTTTACAAACATACAAACAAACAAACATACATACATACATGCATACTTCCATAAATAGTTGCATACATGCATACAAACATACATACATTCATATACATTTTTCTTTTTATCTTGTGTATCAATCATTTTTCAATGAGATGCCGTATTTATGCCATATTTGTGTATAATACACAATAAACATACGAATACGCGCGTGTATGTATGTGTATAATATGTGTATGTGTATTGATACATATTGTACACACACATACACACATACAGTCACATAAGTTTACAAATTTATAATTGACATGTAATTGCCATTAGCGAGTTATTATGCTATGGTGCTGTCCTATGTGGCGTGATAATAATTACCAGACAATAATAAAAATAATAATAATTATATTAACTATAATTATAATAATATTAATAATAATAGTACTTAGCGATGGTTTAATGTTAAGTTTGGCTGTTTATTTTCTTATGAGAATTATTTCTGTCTGCCAGGCTGAGTCCTTTCTCACCGTTGAATATACAATGCTTATTAATACAGTAACGTTTCTATATTATTTATTTGTATTAAACAAACGCACACACACGCACACACACGCGCACAAACACAAACACATATACCTATACAATTCGTACATTTATTTATAACATATATATTCATCTTTTGTTTTTATTTATTTTTCTTTGCTACGCGCGATTTTTTCTTTTAAATTTTTTTCAAAAAAACTCTTTTTCCTTTGTTTATATTAATAAATTCTGTGTTTGTATTTTATTTTTTGTATATTAATTACATTGTATTATTTGTTAAACGTACGTACATGCTATGTTGTCTATCTATCACTATATATATAGCAATAATACATTATTACTATGGTAAAAACTTTGTAAATATATATAAATATATATCTACCTATTGTATATGTGTTTGTGTATGCGTATGTATATACATACTTGTGCGTGTTTGCGTCTGTATATGCGTATGAGCGTGTTTATATACGTGTGATTTTATCTTCTATATATTTTTAATAAATTTGTAGTTACCAAATAATATAATTTTTTCAAAAAAATTACATGCTATTCTTACTAAACTAGACTGAATAAAAACAATTGCGTTGGCTCGCAATGGTATCTTTATTATACCATGGTATTATACGGTGTCTATGCGGTATACAATGTATTTTACTTGGTATTTATTTGATATATTTATTATATTGCGTCTCAAGTGTAATTAGTACGGAAATTAACACTACGTAAATAGTTTATTTAGTTAGTTTTTGATACGAAAATAGCAATATTTACATGAAATTAATGTTTCTAGATTGATTGGATGCACATTTTTTACTTATATTATCAGTTGGTATTTGATCGTAGTGGTCGTGTTTCCAAAACAAGGCTCTGTATTTTCAAAATTGATGATGATCCGGCAAAATTTGGAGTCTGCTGCTAGGTGGAATGCACATCAAGAAGCATGTATGCATATATATATATATATATATATATATATATATATATATATATATATATATATATATATATAGATTGAATAGAAAAGATTTTCGATTTCAAGTCGATGATTTTCGTACATCAGCTTTTTTGTTTTGTGTAGAAGATCGTGCTATATTTCATCAATGGTGGAAATAGTGTGAAACCTATTCCGAAGGGATTTCAACTTTTTTTAATGAACGAACATTAAAGATTTGAAACATTATACGTGGAAAATTTCGAATTGTTTTCGCAGTGGCGTATGGAGTTTGATCCTGCCTTGCTGATGAATGACCGCATGATCTTCGTTTTGTTCGGTTGTTAAATTTTACCGAACGAGTCGAACGCGCATCACCGGCAACGTCACGATGTTTGTTCAACCAAACTAATATTCGTTCTTTTCAAATAATAGAATTCTCGCGATTGAAAAACAGTTTGATAAAAAGAGATTTCAAAAAAGGAATTGTATTAATCTCTCATTTTGTCGTTACAACAGTAAATTTTCAGTTGTGGTATTAGAAGATGAGTCAAATATGAAAGCTATGTTAGCAGCTAACAACAGGAGCCAATCGAAATGAGTGGCGATACGATAAAAATCGTCAAGTTTTTATCCGGCTTAGCATTCCAGCTGTTCCTGGTAGCTGCCACGTCGAAGGCTGGCTCACTGCAGCTGAATCATGGCACGGAGTTGGAGAATTTAAGCTTGCTCGGTTTGCAGTGGCTGGCTATGGTCATGCTGTTCATTTCCTGGCTGATTGTCCAGGTTGTCACCAAAAATTTCTGGTACACCATGGCTAATCTGGCTTTCTGCATCAGCGCTGGTAAAATTTCGTGAATGGATTGTTAAAATTTAAAACGAATCAATCTAACAATTACTGATTATATTTCGATAAAAATTTGTTAACGATATTTCTACAGTGGTGGCGATATTCTTAACGATCGGTTTTCGAGTGGCATACACAAACACCGACTCGCCCCAAGATAGTCTGGTCATTGCTGCCTACTCGTTGGCCGCAGTTTTGTCGCTCACAGGCGCCATCTGGAACTTTTTCTGGAAAAGATAGGAGGAAGTAAATTTGCTGTGTGTAGGGCGGGACGATTCGCGTAACATTTTTTAATGTTCGAAGGTTCGCTGCTGACAACGTGCTCTGAATAGAATATTTTAGTTTGATTATTTGTTGTGTAGTTGAAAATTTTTATTTGTCGTTCTGAAACTTTTCAGTTACGTTTCGTCGTTTAATACAAAAGACAAAAAATCTCCTCGAAATTATGAATTTATTGACACTTAGAACAGACAAAAGCGCGAATACGCTAAATAATTGAATTTAAATTAACACCGAATCTAATACGTAATATAAATGGATTTTTATAGCCACATTATACAAGTTCCCAATCAATACACACTATGGTCTGAATGTTAGAAACTTTACACCAAGCAAACTCTAATCAATAAGCATAAATTATCCCCATAGCTATCAACATAGATTTTTTTCTTACATTTGGCATAATTTTTTATACAAATTTCAATGGATTTATAATTGAATGAACTAAGTATATAACGTAAAAAATAAATAAAATGACAAAAACGAAATAAATTTCATTGATACAATCTAAAATTGAAATAAATTTCATTGATACATATCTCTCTCTCTCTCTCTCTCTCTCTCTCTATATATATATATATATATATATATATATATATATATATATATATATATGCTGGTAGAAGACCAAATTCTTGAAAATAAGTAATAAATTCCACCGATTTATTGGTGTTTATCAACTTATATATTAGAACTTTTTAATTTGTCTTAGTAGATTTTTATCAACTAAATTAAGAAATTATATATATATATATATATATATATATATATATATATATATATATATATATATATATATATATATATGTAACAAGTATAACACGTACATAAACACACACACACACACATGTAAAGAATTTTAAATAAAATCAATCTTAATAAATGTAATGTGAAAATATTAACTAATTTAGTACAGAAATAAAATATATCGAAACGAGTATGTATTTAAAAAATTATCAATGATATCCAAAGACTAGATATGAAAAAGCAGTTAATTCAATTCTATTATATATATATATATATATATATATATATATATATATATATATATATATACATAGATATATATGTGTGTGTGTGTTAATGACCTATACTTTTTTGTTTGTTATAATACAGTCCACATAAAAAAATTAAATTTTCAAGTAACAAACTAAAACGACCATGTAGAGTTAATAATACCTATAATATATATCTACACGCACGCACACACACGCACGCACGCACACAATAACGAGTTTAAAAGCGAATGCACGGACATTTGATTTTATGGTAGAAAGAACAGGTAAGGTAATATGCTCATGACAAATGAGATAAATTATATGTGAATAATATTATGAAATTTCCATATGTTGCAAATCATTTTTTTTTTCAATCTAAAATGCATTGTTTGAACGAAACAATTCATATAAAATGCGTCAATAATAACAATCGTTATTATTAATTATAAATAAATAGATTCATTAACTATAATAACTAACCCATCAATTAATTAATTAATTAATTATATCAGTTGCTTTCATTAACGTTTTTTGAGTAATCAAAAAAAGTTTTTACGTTAGAAAATTTAATATAAAAATCATCCTTCCAACTAAGAAAAATGCGGCAATGATAGATTGTCGATAGATACATTTAAAAAGATATAGATTTTACGTGTGTGTGTGTGTGCTGTGCATGTGTGCAACATCTACTTAACATCTATCTAATTTTAACTTCTCTCTCTCTCTCTCTCTCTCTTCATAATCAAATAAAAGCTTGGACAGAGGCAAGAAATTATTTATAGAAATAATTCTATAAGAGCAATAAATAACATCATAAACGACAATAAACATAATTAAAAAATATAAATAATAACTTTATTAGTACTATTACAATTACTATCAGTAGTAGTAGTGGTATTGATAGTAATAGTACTATTTCTATTAGTAGTAGTGGTAATAGTATCGATAGTAATAGTATTATTACTATTACTAAACTGCAATGTAGGTATGTTAAACCAATACTAAGTGAGGAAATGGAAGAATTAATTTTTAAACGTTTGTAAGTAATGACCTGATGTGGTTAGATATGGGTAATAATAATAATAATAATAATAATAATAATAAAAATAATAATAATGATGATGATGATAAGAAGAGGAAGAAAAATAAGAATAATAACCATAATAAATATAAGAACCACGATAATGAGAATGATACAGACGATGATGAAGAAAAGTATTTATGATTAAAACAATGTATACACATCAAAATATCAAATACTCAAGAAATACCATTGAAAAATAAACACACACACACGCGCGCGCGCACACACACACACACAGAAGCAAATATATGCACGTATAAACATGTAAATATATACATACATCGGTATTACCAATTGCCATTACATCATTGTTATATACATCGACTAACACAATGAATGGACCAATCAATCAATCAATCAATCAATCAATCAATCAATCAATCAATCAATCAATCAATCAATCAATCAATCTTAAAACGAACCAGCCAGCCGAACATTAATTAAACCAAACCCATCCACCGATCCACTCACTCTTCCATTCATCAATCAATCAATCCATCTGTCCATCCAACCAACCAACCAACCATCCAACCAACCAACCAACCAACTAACCAACCAATTAACCCGATCAATCAATTACCCAGCGCCTTTTTCGATCCAACAATTTGAAGTATCATGATAAAGAGTTGAACTATATCAAGATACAGCTGCAGGGCCCCGAATATGTATTCCTCAGGGCTTATTTCGTATTTTCGGTGCGCACCGCCTATAATCATCTGCGTGTCTACCAGTAAGAACTAGGAAAAACAACAACAACAATAATAATAACAATAATAATAGTAACAATAATAATAATAATAACAACGTTGAATAAGAATATCATTGCTACCATCAAACTACAGATCATTACAAAGAATTGAAATGGTGGAATCGTAAATGTAGCGAGATAAAATTACTTTGATTATTATTATCAATTTATATGTATAGCTTTAGGAGAGCTTAATAATAATAAAATTAATAATAATAGTAATAATAATAATAGAAACAATAATAATAGAAATAATAATAATAACAATAAAGCAAACTGACCAATGTAAACATCAGGGCTCCAATTGAAGCGTACACCAGCTGTAGAATCTAAATGTGTTAGTTTGTTTGTATGGATGTTTGTTTGCATGCTTATATATGTGTGTGTATGTGTGTGTGTATGCATGTATATGTGTGTGTTTGTGTGTGTGTGTATTGCCATTCTTTTTAACATCTCAAAACATAGTAGTTTTAAATAAACAAGCAACAACAGAAGAACATAAACAACAACAAAAACAGAAACATAAGCAATTGAACAAACAAACAAACAAACGAACAAACAAACTAACAAACAGACAGACAGACAAACAAACAAACACCAACATCATTGGGCTGCTTGGTGACGGTGTAGTAAATGATGCAACCGATACCAAAGAGCATGAATACGACCGAGAATACAAACAGGAAACCGCGACACAATGTAAAATCAATCTGTCAATTGATCAATTAATTTACTTGCTACACATTCAATAAATAGATTAGTCAATTAATTAATTAATTAATTAATTATAAACATTCGCTGTGTGATAATTTTATAAAAATTAACAATTTCTAATTGAAAATCAATAAAGATCAATAATCACGACTTGAAAAATAGGTCAACAGATGAAAAATATAACATAATTATGAGAAAAACTTCAAAAAAAAACACCTGCAAAAAAATTAGCACTCTAATAAAAATTCCATTCAAGAACTGTTGAATAGAGCTGTCATATACAGTACACAAAACACACACGCGCGCACACACATACACGCACACACGCACGCACACACACACAAAAACGTACTTTAGTCTGCATGGCAAAGATGGAGATAGCGAAGCAGACGACAGCTGCAATGCCCAGGGCAATGAGAACAACTCTCATAGAGTAGAACCTAGTGGGAATAATTTTTTAATTAATCTCCAATAAATTACTAATAATTATTATAATTTAAATAATAAGGATATTATAATTAGTATCAATTCTCACTCGGTAAATTTCCAGAGGTATCAACGAAACACGCTCACGCACGCACACACACACACGCATACACACACGCATCACCACATCCATACTGCACGTGATGGACTGTGGGATTCGTCTGCATTTGAACCTGGTCAGAGTGTAACAGCAAGAGGAGCAGCTAGCCGCTTTTCAATATAATGATCCAGAATGGTCATAGCAATGGCAAGAAATAAAAAGTAAAAAATGAAGTGAGAAACAAGCAGCTAACGCGCTTAACATTCCCGTCATGTAAGACATTGCCAGAGTCTGTAAATAAATAAATTAATTAATTAGTTAACTAATTAATTAAAACAAACACGCGCGCACGCACAAACAAACATTTAAAAACAAACACACACGCACAAACAAACAAACATACCAGAAGGGACAAACACAAAAAATTCCAGGGCCACTTTTTGCGGATAGCTGAACAGCACGGACAAGCCAGTGTAAAATAAGTCACCACAAACACACCGCTGTGTATATATAATTATAATTTATATTATAATTTATATTTTTATTATTTTTATATTATATTATAATTTATATATTATAATTTTAAAATTTGAAATAAAAAGATTAAATTGAAAAATATCTAACTAAGAAACATAATATATGGCCGGATGGCGTTTGACCCATTTTTGCACCGGTTCGCTATTGGATGAAATTAAAAACCATAATGAATTATGAATAATTAATTATGAATTATAAATAAATTATTATGAATAATTTAGATAACGGTTGGAAATATATAATATTATTATTATGAATGAAAACTTTTGAAAATCACCCGAGAATGTATCAACAAAACATGCAAACCTTCAGAAATCATCACCTTAATTTATGATGGTCATCGTCATTGTAAACTTTATCATTATCCTCATCATCAGAATGATTGTAAAAATGACGATGAAGATGATAACGAAGATGATGATGAATATGATGAAGATGAATTTGATGAATAATGACGAAGATTTTCAAGATGATAATGAAAATGGTGGCAGACTCATCCACAATGGCTGTAAACATGACGATAAAATAAAATAATAACGAAGTGATACATGAAGATGATGATGGTGAATAAATGTTTCAGTTTAATGTTACAATGTCAGCGATGACTAACTAGAGACAGAGCAAAACAAATCCAAACGTGACCAACAGCTGCAACGTCAGGATCAAATACACCTTAAAGAACAGGTAAAGAAACAATTGAAACATTTTATTTTTAAACACCAAAGAAAGAACAGAACAAGACACAAACCTTTTTCACAAATGCCTTCCTAACAGATTCATTGGAAAAAGAAGACCCCATATCCAGGCCGCCCTGTTCCTCATCCCCTCTGATTAAAATTCCATCACCCCCATCATCATTAACAGGCTTCAAGGGGGTCACAGTCCTTGGGTCAAACCCCCCAGGTCCTGAAAATCCCGGCATTCCTGGCTGAACTGGATAACCACCTGGTTGTTGACTTGGATAACCAGGCTGTGTAGGATATCCCGGTTGAGTTGGAGGGTAGCCACCCGGATGGGTGGGAGGATAGCCCCCAGGTTGAGAGGGGGGATAGACTCCAGGCTGGGTAGGGGGGTAGCCACCTGGTTGAGGAGGGTAACCACCTGGCTGAGTCGGAGTATATCCTCCTGGTTGGGATGGGTAGCCACCTGATTAATAAAAAAATGATAAATTATTTATAACAATTCTTAAATTATCCTAAAAAATTATATACAGTTAAATTTTTAAATAAGATAAGCTAGACTACAGTTATATTGCAATTTATGACTGTTATATTTAATTTTTATAATAAGATATTGATAAATTTTCGTCTACATTTACTCATTTACCATAAATGACTCTATCAATTCTTAACTTTAATTATACTAAAAAGTTAAACTACTTTTTCCATTTTGAAACTCAGTTAAATTAATTATGACAGATATTGCTTTCTATATTTTTTTATTTAAAAATTAAATAAAAATCATGAAATTTTTTTTACCTGGGTATCCTGCTGCTGGTTGGGGACCAGTTGGGTATCCTCCTCCATGATAACCTGGCGGAGGTTGAGCGGGGTAACCAGCTGATTGTTCATAACCCGGAGGTGGATGATTAGGATGATTTTGAGGTAAGTCGGTCGGAAAATCATCCAAAATGGCGTTAATATCTGGAGCGTTTGCCATGTTTGTTGTTTATGTCAGATTTTGATTTTTCGATCTAAGACAACGTGACAAACCAAAATTGAAAATCTATACAGAAGGAATAAAAACAGGTAAAAATTCCTTTAAATTGGCAGGCGAATAAACTAAATCGCAAAAAGAGAGTAGAATATTCTAAAAAAGAAACTTCTCAAAAAAAACGGACGTTTAAATAAACTCGATGTTTATAATTCGTCTGCTTATATGGTTAGAAAAAACAAAATTTAACATGCGATATTTTTTAATCAAAGAATGTTAATTACTGTTATTATATATATATATTTATATATATATATAGTTAGTTGTTTGCCACATGCAAATAGTAACAATATTTACATAAAATGCTGTTGCAACATTCGATTTTACAGTGGTAGTGAAATCAAAACTGTAGGCTACAAGTTAAAGAATAGATATTTGCAGTTCGTTAATTATTTTCTACTATAAGGTTAATTAAAATTTATATCATTTATTTGTTTTATATATTATTATTGCTTAAGATACCCGAATAAACCACCAAATATCGTAAGTTAGTATTCTAAAACGTTTCACATTTGGCAGTAAAGATCAAATCAAATGAGTTTTCCCAGTTTTTTCCCTTGCCAAGACATTTATAGTTTACAAATATTTAGCCAGTTTTAGTCAAAATTTGAGAGTGGAAAAAACTGACAATGAATTTTAAAACAAGCGTTTTTTAAATCATTCAAAAATCTAAAATTAAGAAATTGTTTTGAAATAGTTCAAGAATCATTTGAATCTTCGTCACTCTCATTTGAATCCTCATCCTCCTTATCTTCAAAATAATTATCATCCTTTAGGGAACTCGCTTTACTATCGTTTAAACTTGAATTCGAACCACCTTCGCCATTATCAAGAGTTTTATTCTCATCATCTGTCTTTGCAGTTGATCCATTGTCCAAATAGTCACGCCACTTTTGTAATCGCTCGTTCATTTCTTGCTCGGTTTCGTTGACTTGATATTTGGTCTTACCGTCGTAATTGGCGGCAAAGAGCTGTCTTTTGGCGAACCACCGACCGTGCAGGGCTTTCACACAGAGGTCGGCTTCTTCAGGTTTCTTGAACATTACCGTTACAACACCTTCGTCGTGTCGCTGAAATAAAAATAATTTTAAATATTATTAAAAATCATTAAATGCCATTAAATTTCGTTGAATACTGAAGAATATCTCACGTCGTAGACCACTACTTTTCTGACTTCACCAAATTTGGAGCATTCCTCACGCATATCTGCACTAATCTCGTTTATTTGGCTTGGATCATCCTAAATAAAAAAATTGAATTTTTTTTTATAAATTATCAACATTTTAAAAAATGGAATTCAACATTTTTTAAAAAATTCTAAAAAATTAGATCAAACAAAATTTTTTGGTAGACAAATCTTCACAACTACCTCAAACTCTTTAGGAGTAAAGACGTTTTTTATAACAACAATTCTTTCGTATCTGGGTCTGGAGTCTGGATTTTTGTCCGGTAACCAGCCTAGCAATCTAAAAAATTTGTTCGTTAACCAATATTAAATCCAAAATAAATAAAATTTTGTTAAACTGCTAAAAAACTTTATCTTTGAATAAGTAATTTTGTGGATAATTAAAGCTAAAAATAATTCAACTAAAAAGAAACTTACCTATTTTGTTTTTCTTGAAACTTTTTTTTTTCATTTTTTGATAATTTTCTCTTTTTTTTCGTCGGGTCATATTGGCCCTTCTGTTCAAATTTTGCCTTCTCCACCGAAATTTTGAATCCTTTAAAATCCGATCCATCTAAATAATTCAGTGCCAGTTGAACTGATTCCGGCTGGACAGAAATTTTTTTCATTGAATTATACAAAATGTAACAATTTGAGTAAACTCTATACTTTATTATTATTATCATTTTTATTATTAAGCTTATTATTAAGACTTTCAAATAATTTAAAAAAAAATAAAGCACCTCAACATTCCAAAGAAACAAAAAAAACAGCCTACCTTCATATAACAACATCTACCATCCCCTTTATAATTACCATCTTCCCCTTTGTAGAGTCTTAATTTTGGTTTTCGTAAAACTGGGTCAAACGCTATCAAACCAGCCTATAATTTTTTTCAAATAAATTAATTCAAATTATTATTATTTATTTCCTTTATTAGTTTTTTATTCATGTTAAAATCACATTTTTCACGAGAAAATATTTTTATCTTTTATATCAAATAAAAATATTATCAATTAAACTTAATACAATATTTACAATAACAACAACAACAACACCATTAACAGTAACAAGAAAAATAACAACGATAAGCACAACTGCAGCCACAACAACCTTATTCATTAATTCTTTAAACTCTTCTTCAGTTATCTCTGGAGGCAAGCCTGATACATAGACGTTTGTATTTTTTGAGTCATCTATTTCAAACCATTCTAAAAGTAATAAAAATTAAAAAAAAATTATATTAAGTTATATTAAAATTATGAAAATATTTAGTATTATAGTGTAACAAATAAGATTGTGAAGAAAAGTTAATAATTAAGTATATTCTAAATTATGAAACTATTTAAACAGTGTAATAACAAACAAAACAATGAAAGTGTGTATTCAAAACAATTAAGTATGTATGTAAAAAACTTTTGATTGAATGCTTTAATTTATGCTATAACTTTCTGAAAGAACGATGAATTGGACATTAAATGAAAGATAATAAAAAATTTGAACAAAAAGATTAAAAATTTTATAAACCGTGTTCTGTAGATTTTCTTTTTTTATCAGCCTCTTCGGAAGAAACAGAAGAAACAGTTTCACTCTTTTTTTCAGTTTTATCTTTTTTAGCTTTTTTATTCTTTAATTTTTTAGCATCTTTGGTATCATTAACATTTTTACAATCAACATCATCCTCATCTAGCTGGCTGGGATCGAGATATCTACCAAAATATTCCGGATCGTCGATATCATATGACGTAGATAGTGAGGTAGCAGGAGCTTTTGGCATGCTTGCTGTTTGGTGTAGAGATTTGTAGTACTTGCTGTACTGTTCATACCAGATTTTGTACTCTTCTGAGTTTACGTCTGCTGGGGGGTTCTGCCAGAACGATGTACTACTGCTGCCATCTGCTGAGGCCCCATAACTTAGTTGATATTTTGCTATGAAATCTTCATCAATCTAAGAAAATTAAATGTTTTCATGTTTAAAAAATAAATTGTGATGCATATGGCAGACAGAGTGATATAGATATGTTACACATTTAAATAATTATAATATAATAATAAATAAGTAAATAAACAAATAATAGAAAATAACACTATTGAACAATAAAGACAATATTAAATAACCTTTTAAAATATAGATACAGATTAGATTACACTGATTACAGTTTAAATAAGAAAGTAATAGTAAAGATTGGAAGAAATTGAAAAAAATTTAAAACAATTACAGAATTACATACACATTACAAAAAAAAGAGTACCTTACCTTAGGAAACCATGCTTTTTTAACAGGATCAAACTCGTACACCGTTCCATCTTCATCTTTTCTCGTCCTACTTTCAATTTCGGCCCTTTTCAATTTTTCCATTTCTTCCTGCTTCAGTTGATTTTCAAATTCTTCCATGTCTTCTTGATTCATCATGTTGTGATGCTGTCGGGTACAAAATTTAAAATTTTAACGGAAATGTGTCGACCGCGTAGAAAACTGTGTGTTTAGTTAGGTGCTAACGTATATCAAATTTAAAAAGTGAAAAAGTTTACGTACGTTTTGGTTTTCAAATTAAATAAAATTATTTATTATCGCTCAACAAAAAACAATACATAGACTCAAAAACAAAGGTAATATATTAGAATTACAGTGTTTAAAAAACGAACCATAACCAGTTAAGAACAAACCATTTATATATAGAATATAATATTATATTCGATATATTGTTATATTTTATATATATATTAAACAAACTATTTTCATTAAACATATAATACAATTATCCATAACCATCTATACTGTCGAATTTAATCAAAATAATTTTATGGATCTATCCATGAATAAGCATGGATATAAATAATATCTTATATATATTATATCTATGTGAATAACGCTATTTTTTGTTATCTTTGTCACAGAACACAATGGCACACCTTCTCTCCACATACTTGGAATAAATTGTTCTCTCTCTCTCTCTCTCTCTCTCTCTCTCTCTCTTTCTCTGTCTGTCTTTCTGCTGTCTGTCTGTCTATCTCTCAGTTTTTTCTTGTCTCCCGAGACTAATTTTATTCAGACAGTGTTTATATTCACGTCCATTGGGTATGTATGTCCTAACTAAGTTAGTTGAAAGTTTTCCGAATTTTTAAAGACGAGTTTATTTACAGTCAGACTTTTAATAATGTTAGTTACTATAATTTAATTGCTGATGTTAATTAACACGTAGGAATACTTTTTTGAGATAAACTTTTATATTTTGGTTATTATCACTAACTATTTCAAACTTAAATATAACTGAAATATTTTACCCGACTGTAACATAATTGTTGTAAAGAGACCCAAAGAAGAAAATTAATTCTTTTGAATGATTAATTACTTAAGTTTTAGTAACAACTCAAAAAAAATTAGTTACACCGACAATGTATATTAATTACGCACATCTTTGCTACTGTTACGTCAAATTGTTTCTGATCAGTTAGGGCACTAATGGGTTAATCTTCATTAGCCCTTTCATTTTCATGTTGAAGGTTAAAGTTCTAAGGTTGCACTTGAAAGAGGTTTCAGGTTGGCAATGTAGAATTGTTTTATAAACTGATCAAAATAAGGTTTAATTTAAATGTTCATGTGAAGTCAATCAATCTTTGTTTTGCGTCCAGAGTCCCGGTTCCCCGGGGTAGGACGTTTGTTTTCTTTGCCATCAACTTTTTGCGCCAAATTAGACGATCAGTTGTATCCATTTCATTTAAATTTAGAGCTTTCATGTCTTGCTAAGTAGCAAACCAGCTAAGTAGCAAAGAAGTACAATTTAATAAAATATTCACCAGATAATTAACTAATAGCTGAACCTAAAATTAGAAAAATAGTAGTAAAATTTGCTGTTAAAAATGGCATTTATAAGATTATCTTAAAATGTTTATAAAAAAAAATCAGTAACTGTATATTTATTTTTCCATATAGTGTGAAAGCGGCTTTAGATTCGAGATGTAACTTTATCCGGAATAATATAGTTTTTCTTCCACCTTCCCGAATGAGTTACCATAAATTTTTGAAGGTTGACGGTCCCGTTTTTTAAAACTTCAAAAACTTTAATGGTTCTTTTCAAATCGAAAACTTTGTGACTTTAAACTCCTCAACATCTTCAATAAAAATACAAGTTTTCGATGCTTTTTGTCTGCTCACTCTTGCAGTCTGGACAGAGTAGGCCAACCTTCTTGAAGTACTCCTTCAGACAGCTTCTGTGGTATATGTGGCCGCATTTCAGTTCGTATATGAAAGATTTTTCTATAAATCTTTCATCACAAACATCGCACTTCGCTGCTGGATATTTGCTGCTTGAAAAGGGCATTTTCAAGATAGAATCCGTGTGGAGAAAATCTAATTGGATATATTTTCCAACCGGTGTTAGAGCTGCTCTTGTCGTAACTTGTGATTCGGAGTAGTAAATATTTTCTTCCACCTTTCTGAATAAATCGTACAGTTGGTCGTGAGTTATGCATTAATCTTAATCAACCTACCAGCCAACCAACCGGCTCCGTTTTTTATTTAAAGCTGGTCAATCGTCATGAACTTTACAGGGTCTTTTATTTTTTTTTCGGTCGAAAGTCCATTCACGACCTGAACATATTTCAACTTATATTTACGCATCAAAAGCCTCAATTGTTCTTTTGAAATCAAAAGCTTTGTGATATCAAACATCGCCAATAAACATTTTAATAAAATTAAATGCAACAGTCAAATGTCGCTCTTTTTTTCAGTTTTTCTTTTATCAAATAAAAATATTAACCTTGATTATATAAAGTTTGTGGTATAGAATTCTGTGAAAATCTGATCAGCACGTTCAAATTCAACAACTAAACTTCCATCCAAAGAAAAACATGAATAATTTATCACTAACAATTTTTATTGCCATATTACCTCAGTGACTATTTAGTTTTGCCACGAGGTTTCATAATCATGTGATGCGTCTTCTTTTGTGTATGATATATTCTTATTCAGTTTCTGGCTTTGTTTTGAAAAAAATTGACCAAAGACGAAAATTGTAGATTATTATTTGTATGTTTAAAATCTGAAGATAACTACATGTAAATGCAATTTTAAATGTATATAATATGGACGGACATAATATGGTAGGATGGCGAATTACAATTTTAAAATCTCGTGAGACATATTTGATGAAAAAATTGAGGACCTCTTTAGCGCAATAAAATCGCATTTATTAATAAGTATTTTTTGAAAATCCACCGAAAATAAAACATACACTGGATGTTGAAAGAAAAAAACTATAATACAATTTGTACAAAATATAGAATACATTGTATACAAAATACAAAAACATTGTATGTAAAGTACACTGTATACAAAATACAGAATACATTGTTTACAATATACCAAATACATGGTATACAGAATGTAAAATCTGAGCATTCAACATAAAAATCAAGTTTTACTCTTGAGACATTGGACATTTTCTTACCAGCAATTACTTTACTACTACAACTAATGATCATACAGTAATTAAACAGAGCTAGCTGTATATCTAATTAACTGAGAGGACAGCTGTAGGTATGCGAGAGAGAAAATGCGTGAGATTAAGTTTGACTAGCTGTTATCCTCTTTAGTAGAAATAGAACAAGATTCTTATAATCGGCTTTTGTTAGTGTATCGCAGTTTGCCTCTTCTAAAAACTTATACAATGATTCGGCGCTGTCAAATAACTGGTCATCAATCTCAACGTAAAAATCATTCTTTGCGTTGATGTTATATTTGCTGGTGAAGTAATCTCGTACACTGTCAAGGTCATTTGGGTTTTCAATGCTTTGGTTGGGGTTTAACTCGTTTCTAGTGTGGTTTTCAGAGTTGGCATTTATGACTTGGTTGCTGTGAATCGTCATTAAGCGTTTTCTTCTGCTGTAGATTGTTTCATTGTAATCCAAAGGAGTGGCTGAGTGTTTCCTGACATTGGAAATGTCTGCGTAGTCGTCGTGGTGTTTGCTGGGCTTGGGTTTGTTGATTGTGACGTTTTCGTAATAGTGTTTGTTGTTTTTGTTATGTAATTTATCGTTTGGGATGTTTTCATAGTTGTTGTTGTTTTTGCTGTGTTTTTCATTAGTAGGTTTATCATTCGAGTAAGTACTATCAAGAGAATCTGACTTGGTCAAGATAACTTTTTGCCTAAAATTAAATTTGACAAAAAAGTTTATAGAAAAAAATCAATATGATGCAAACTATAGATCTATAATAATAAGTAAATAAATGAAACCTAAATATATCTTGTATTTTAAAAGTAGGTTAAGTAGCAGAAGCGCCCTGTGGAGCGTTGATACGAGGTTTAATTGTAAAGAGAATATCTACACAATTGCCAAAAAATTGGCGGTACTGACGCGAGTAAGTTTAAAAGATAAATGGGTCTTCTGGTAGAAAGTAACAAACTTGATTGAATTTTTCAATGTGCTATCATCCTTATCTGTCATCAGCGCTAGTCCTCTTCTGTTTAGCTCCTTCGTCTTTTGGATGCTGGTTTGTACATTGCTATCAATGTTGCCAACTGATTTTCTCATGGCTACAACGTTGATGTTGTTGTTGTTGTGGTCACTGATTTTTTCATGTCTTTGTTCGAATTCTTTTGTTAAATTCATCTACGAAACCAGTCGAAAAATAAGTTCATTGATAGTTTAATTGATTAATGAGTTAATTAACCAGTTAATTAATCAATTAATTGATCAATCAATTAATTTTATTTTTTTATTTTGTCTCATTTTCATTTTTGCCACTTTATAATTTTTTGATTGTTTTATTCATGCTATGCATGTTGGGCTATGTTTGATTTGTTATCTAAAAAATGGGAAAAAACATATAAATTGCTTTTTAATTATTTTAATGTCTGTGTTAAACAGGAAAATGGTTTTGTTTTAATGAATTAAATTAATTAATCACTTAATTAATTAATTTTTAATTAATTTCCCAGAAAAAACGACGACGACAAGAATGAAGATTAAGAATTAGCTAATCGACGCCGACGCCATTATATTGTGTCGTGCCTAATTAAAAAGTATAATAAAATAATAATTTTACTAAATATTTATCAATAATCTTATTAGTTATAATAATATACAAAGAATAATTTATAACCTTCCCACTAAAATCTATCTCCAGCAAATCTTTAAACGTTTCTTCATTAATTTGTGGGGATTTTCTACCGAATTCTTTGTCGCTGTGACTATTGTTACTCGAGCTACTATTGCTGACGTCATCATAGTTGTTGTGGGTTGTTGTGTTGTCATCGTCAAATTTAAAGCCAAGTAAATCCTCAATGACAACAGTTCCACCAAAAGGCGTTAACTCGAAGTTAAATAACCATTCCTGATTCTCTATTATAACAAAAGTCACAGCTTTTCTGGCTTCACTTGTCGCCATCATCAGCGCCGCGTCGTCGTCGCCGAATTCCGGACGCAGAAACGCCGTTGAAAAAACTGTGCTAAGGTTGTGACTGTTCATTCTGTTGGTTGCGCTGTTTTTTGATACCTCGCTTAAGAACGTGCAGAGATATTTTAGTAGGTGGTAGTTTGATTTGGTCAACGTTAAGAGAAGTTTTCGGAGATTTTCCATTGATGTTTTTGGGTCTAGCGGCATTTCTCTCATGACTATTCTATTTCGGTTTTTATAATACAAACATAATTTATTTATTTATTTATTTAAGGCTTTTATGTAGTTTTAAAGATATCTAAATAAATTTGAGACAAGTTTTTAAACGATATTTCAAGTCAGTCAAAACGTTTATAGCCATTAAAGTTTAGAATCACACCTGACAACACCTTCGTACAAATCAGCCGAAATTAGTGAGGATGGTAATTCTCTGATGTATAGTTTGAGTAACGAAGAGACAGTGTGGACATCAAGGCTGGGTATGTCTTCGAACCGGGGCCTCTCACCTCTGTCAAATAACTCGACGCACTTCTTAATCATTGAAGTTAAGCCCGGCAGTCTAAATATAAAATTTATTTGCTAAAGAAAAAAATTTAGGCAAATAGTTTTTGGTATATTTTTAAGGACAAAAATTAAACAGAAGTAAAAAGTTAATTAGGAATATAATTTTGCAAAATAAAAATTTTTAAGAGGTAAACGAGTTGAAATTGGCCCTAAGTGTAAGATATATACGCTCTAGCCCCAGCTATAACCAAAAATGTGTTCAGTGGCATCAGTGCACTAAATACTGTATTAAAACAGCTTGGCAAAAATTTTTCGGTAATAATTTTAAGTTTTTATAAACCAGTACACATATTATTTTGTTCAGAGCCAGAGCGGATTTCCAATTGAATAAATTGGCGTTAAGTAGCTTCACCTAAATAGTCCCTCTTCATTCAATCCATGTTTCCTTAGATATTCAATGCAGATCTCTACAATCTCTGGCACCGTTCGTCCGGGGTTTTTTCTCGTTTCAAATCTCAAAGTTTCCTCTAAAGAGCTACCAAATATGGCTGTTGTGTGTAAAAAGAATTTGAATCAAATAATTGTTAAAATATTGACAAATTTAAAGAAATGATCGGAATCAGTATAAAAATGGGATAGTTTAACAGAAAAGAACCTAAAAATTATTAGTTTTCAGTCGAAATTTATCATGGTGGTTAGTTTCAATTTCATTTTAATCTTAACAAAATTTTAAATTGAGGGAGGTGCTTTAGCTCCAAGGCCCTCTTTTGGTAACTCCTTTGTTTATTTTTTGAAATATTTTAATTCAAACAACCTCCTCCGTGGCGTTTGTAGATAATTTTTTTTATGATTCTCATCCAATTGTTCCTTTCCTGATCAGAATCTGCAGCTAGTACGAAGCTTTCCTGATTGTAATTGTTGCTGTCGTCTGCGATTGTGATGATGAAGAAGAAAAATGATGGTGGTGATGATGAGGAAAAAGAAGATGGTGATGGTGATAAGGAAGAAGATGATGGTGGTCATGATGAGAAAGAAGATGATGGTGGTCATGATGAAAAAGATGATGGTAATTGTGATGATGATGAAGAAGAAGATGATGGTGATGCCAATTTTAATGAGGATGGCGTTACATGCAACGATTTTTACGACAATAAGTTCAGTATTGCCGAGTTTGCTAATAATAGTGCTATTGTTATTGCTGTCGTTTGTTTAACAAATCGTCGCTTTCGCAATGCTGTTGTCAATGTAAATGTTTGTTGTGATCGCGTTAGTCATATTTTTCTAAGAATAAAATTGAAAAACCGACAAAATTCAACAAACACCGATAACGTTCTCACTCACAATAATCCAATTTTTAAATAATATTTAGTAAAATAAATGCAAAAAAGACATCTGGCACGGTTACGAAAAAAAACTAAAAACAAACTTGTACGTACCAGGAAGAATAGTGAAGACAAACTTATCACAGTCAGACCCCTTAGAAACTTGCTCGGCCACATGACAACAAGGTAAGAAAACACACCCTTGAGGCGGTTTCGTATCGTTATGACTCGAATAGTAATACAGATTATCGCCCTTTATAACGAACCACCGCCTCTGCCAGTGTTTCATAACGTTGCTTAACTTTTTTAGCCAGCCGCTTTTCAGGGCAGTTTGTAGAACCAAGGTTGTTGGGTAGAAGTTACTGGAGCCTACTAATGTCGTTGTTTGTTGTTGTACAGCCTGCTGTATGCTGTTTAGTCCGCTTTGGAATGAGTCTTTGAATTTTTCCAAGTGTTGATGTAGGAGGTCTTTGGCCATGGTTGGAAAATTTTTGTAGTTGGGCTAGTCGTTTGATTTGTAGTTGAGTTTGATTTGTAGTGGTTGGATTTGTAGTTGAGTTTGATTTGTAGTTGAGTTTGATTTGTAATTGAGTTTGATTTGTAGTTGTTTGATTTGTAGTTGGGGACTGGAGTGTTGGTTATATTTATCGTATTTTTAATATTATGTAATAAAATTTGATTAGTTATTGATTTGGTTTGCTGTGTTATGTGCAATTGTTATATTATGTTGAATAAATTTAATTAACCAGATTACTTTCATTTATTTTTATTCATTTTTATTGTCTGCTAGTTCTTAAAAATATGAAAAATGTTGAACTAATAGAAAAATAATAATACTAATTATAATGATAATTAAAAATAATAATAACCAAATAATTTATACAATATATATTATGACTCCTTTAATTCGGTTCCTAGCGTAACACAACGTACAACTAACTTTAATTATTAAACAAACATCCCTTAACTAATGAACCGTTTATTAAACAAACGCGCACTTTTATACACATGTATATATAAATATATGGGTATGAAGGTACTATATAATATATATATATATATATATATATATGCGGGTGTGTGTTTGTGTGTTAGTGTGTGTTTATAAATTAAATCCTGCACCAATTAATAATAATAATTATAATTATATTTCTAAACAAGGAAGAGCTGATATAAATGCGTTAGTTACTCTCGATCTAATCCTTTTCTATATATATATATATTTATATACATATATATACACATGTATACAAACACACACACATACGCAAACACAGACAAACATACACACAAACGTATACATAAAAACGCTTACATACACACACACACACACACACACACACACACACACACACACGATATCTGAATGATAATAATTTTGAGAAAATAAAACTCTATATAAGAGCTCAGGCAATAATACAGCAATAGTAATTACGCCTAACGGTTTCAATCATAAACAATTATATACATATACTACACACACACATATATGTATATACCTATCTATACTACATAGGTATGTTTACTACAATTATCTCCAGAAAAAGAGAAGAGAATGAGAAAAGAGAGGAAGAGAGACAGAGAGAGAGACAGAGAAAAAAAGAGATAAGTTTAGCTTACACCTTTTTTTTATTAGATAAAAAATATTATCGGTTAAAATGATGATAATCTAATAATAATAAAAGTAATAAAAATAATAATAATATAGTACTGTTAATAATTATTATTGTTTACTCTGATCTGAATCACGTTTTAGACATGTCTGATAAGTCATATCTACGTCATTAGGCTTCTGGAAAAACTATGAATGAAAAGAAATTTAACACAACTCAAACAATGCTTATGAATAGGTAGTAATGAAGTGACAAAAAAAATCAGATCTGAGATATATATATATATTTTGAATATATATATATATATATATATATATATATATATATATATATATATATATATATATGCATTATTGTTCGAAAACATACACACACACACACATATATATATATATATTGAATATATATATATATGTGTATGAAATAATTTGCATGCAATTAAAGTAAGTAAATTGAAATTGTTCATTTCTTTTTTCATTCATTAGTCCATTCACTTTCCATTCCTTCATTCACTTGTTTGTTCATTTATTTGTTCATTCCTTTGTTCGCAGGTCTGGTCGTCAGCTTGATATCCACATGTTTAAGACCACATAACACTTGGACTCTGTAATCGAACACGTGATCGATGCTCTTTGTCGGCTCACTCTTGCAGTCTGGACAGAGTAGGCCAACCCTCTTGAAGTACTCCTTCAGACAGCTTCTGTGGTATATGTGGCCGCATTTCAGTTCGTATATGAAAGATTTTTCTATAAATCTTTCATCACAAACACCGCACTTCACTGCTGGATATTTGCTGCTTAAAAAGGGCAGTTTCAAAATGGGACAGTTTGACACGGATTTGAAATAATAATCCGTGTGAAGAAAATCTAATTGGATAGATTTTCCGACGGGTGTTAGGGCCGTTCTTGTTGAAACTTCCGATTCAGAAGAATAAATATTTTCTTCCACTTTTCTAAATAAATGAAACAGTTGGTCGTCAGTTAAGCCATTAAGCTTAACCGGCCAGCTGGCTCCACTTTTTATTTCAGCTGGTCCGGTTGTTATAAATTCAGCGAGGTCTTTTATTTCCTCACTGGAAAGTCCATTTGCTGTATGGAAGCTTTTCAACAAACTTTCACACATGGCAGATCGTTTTGAAATTTGTTCATCAGCGAATTGATCTACGTACATATGGACGTGATGCTTCACAATGTCCTCAAGAGAAAAGAGTTTGACGATGTTACCAGACATTCTTCAAAGTGTAGAACCTGAAAATTTTGAAAAATCGCAAAATTTACGTGTAGGGTGTTTGAGAATTTGCAAATATTCACTTTCATGGAAATCTCATCTCTTTATATACCTGCCAAGGGATCGTAAAAAACAATGGTTTACGATCCATGAAAAAATAAAGTTGTAAAACCAAAGAATGAAGATAACAATGATAAAAAAATTGTTGATTGTAAAATTTGTCGATTGAACAAATTGACCGATCGACCAACCGACCGATCAACCAACCGACCGATCAATCAACCAACCGACCGACCAACCGACCGATCAACCAGCCAACTGACCAACCAACCAACTGACCAACCAACCAGCTGACCTACCGAAGAAACAACTTTTCAAGCGATACACGTAAGAAGCACATTCGAGAAGACGCCAGTTCATAATTGGCCCCGACGTAACTACTCAAAACCCTCTCCGAGTCTATTCTATTATCGACTTGAGAAATGTAGAAGGACTCTCTTGCAACAATAGAATATAACAAACTAACTTACACTCGCACACACACACCACACATACAAACAAACACATACACACACAAACACTCACACACACGCTCATAACACTCACACAATACTCAAATACACAGAAACATACACACATGGATGAACCTTCTTGCTCCTTATATGTATAATATATATTGTATATATCAAGTAGAGTTTCATAACTACTCGTTGTTTCGTGTTTACCAACCAGTCTTACTTATTTTTCAGTGGGGACGGAGGCGTTACAAAACAGTTAGCATTAGTGTATAACTATAGTGTATTTCTAAAAACAATGGTTGTCACCATTATGATGTACTTTTCAAAACAATTAATCAATCCCTTGCGATATATATGTATATATATATATATATACACACACATATATATATTAGCATTCATATAGCGCTTTTTTAATATATTTTTTCTTGGTGGAATGTTAGTATATATATTTATTCTCAGTTTATACAAAAAATATTTAGAAGGATGGAGTTTGAACGAATTGAATGATAGCATAAAATCAACAACAACAACAAATATTGCAACAACGACAATAATAACAATTGTAACAACAACAATAATACTAATTATAATAATTATTATTATAACAATTATCAAATTCACTGTATTAACTCCAAAAAACCCAAGAAAAAATATTCAAATTTTCGGTGATTAAAAAAATAAAAAGATAAAGAATAAATAATTAAATGAATAATTGCTTATTTATATATTTAAATTCTAAAAGTAATAATCACAAAAAATGCACCGAAAAAACAACAATAACAACAACAATAATAATAATAATATGTACCCCGCAATGTTTTCATTGGACCTTTCAATGTTGACTCTGACGCTTTTGCCACTGCTTCAATTTGGTTAGTACATCCATGCTTTTTTTAATTTTATTAGTTGTTTCAAAACACATACACACAAACGCACGAACACACACGCACGAACACTCACACACACACACACGCAAACATACCACACAACACGCACATCCCATCTCATCACGTTATCATCATTATTTATCATCATCATTATTTCTTTATTAAATTTTATTCTCCTTATCAATCGTCGAGTTAACCGATGACGTCATAACGCTCAGTGACGTCATAATGAAAATGGATGATGTCGAGCTGCAGTTCGTTTCGTTTCAGTTGTTGTAATATTGATCCGGATGTTTGTTCAATGGCATATAAATAATAATCCATTGTATCAAACATATCGATGTCTATATATAGACATAAAAATACAGAGAGAGAGAGAGAGAGAGAGAGAGAGAGAGAGAGAGAGAGAGAGAGAGAGAGAAGAGATAGCATAGAAAGTGAAATAAAAACAGTGAATAAATTTATAAAAACAAAATTAATCCAAAAACAAAGATAAATAAATAAGAATGGCAAAAGATTTCTAGGGATGGAAATGACAGACGGACTATTCAACAGTGATTGAATATGATGTAAATATAAATAAACAAAACCAAACACTAATCTGGGATAAGGATATATATATATATATATATATATATATATATATATGTTGCATATATATATATATGTTATATATATATATACAACATACAAACATTCACATACAAATATCTGCAAACATACAAACCTACAAGACATGCAAATACAATCAACAGACATACAGCAACAACATCCCCATACAAACAACGCACAACAAAACCTCCCAAACAACAAACACATCAACGAATCAGTACTAACATACAAATGTGCAAAACATACAAGCATACACAAACATACAAAACAACGGAAAACAAACAAAAAACAATTGCCGACTAGATATTGTGAGCAAGAAGAAGAGCTCGGTTAGTTGATTCTTGAAAAATAGCCATGACCAGCAGATCCAATGCGAGATAAGGAGGAGTGATTTTGATGATGTTGTTTTTGTTGGCGTTATTGATGACGTCATTTTTATTGTTGTTTTTTTTTATACCGATGTTATAGATGCTAGTTGTTATTATTTACAAAGCGCGCGTTATTTAGGATGTTCGTTTGTTTTGTTGTGGTTGCTAGTTCCGTTTGCTTGTTTGTTGATGACGGTTTTTGTTCTTCTGACGTCATTGTTTTTTTACGGTATGATGATGATGATGATGGAGATGATGGGGATGATGATGGAAATGATGGGGATGATGATGGAGATGATGGGGATGATGATGATGGAGATGATGATGATGGGAATGATGATGGTGATTATTAATTACTTGCTCTCTACTACTAATATTACTACTACTATGACTACTACTACTGCTACCATCACTACTATTGCTGCTGCTTCTATAGCTACTACTACTACTACTACTACTACTACTACTACTACCACTACTACTAACTACAACAACTACTACTAATAATAATAGTAATAAAAATAATATTATTATTTATAATGACAATTACAATAATAATGTATAGCAGATACAAAGAGGCTAATTCTTTGAGGAAGTTTGAGAAAAAAATGGTTATTAATGGAATCGCATGAATTTTTAATGTCATTCGTTGCTGTTTGAGTCGGCTTTTAAAAGGTTTTGTTGCATATTTGTAACGAATCGTAATGTTTTTCCTTGGCATATTTGCAATTTTCCATCAAAGATACCTTAGTTATTCATACCATTACATTGAATCTATCCAAATTAGCGGTCTTAGGCAGCAATCCGAACGACGTATCAGGAGAGCAGCGGATCAAGCAGGTGATCCTGAAGGATTACGATAAGACCAGCAGGCCTGTCATCAACGATTCCACCACCGTTAAAGTCCACATTGCTATCTCCCTGTATCACATTTTGGATACTGTGAGTATGTTTGTCTATTTGTTTGTTTGTCTGTCTGTATGTTTGTTTGTTCGTCTGTTTTAATTATTAGTATTATTATTTTTTATTATTTTCAGAACGAGAGGGAGCAAACGTTCACATGCATGCTGGCCATCAGGCAGGTCCGGTGACATACAAATTCGGTCTTCGTCTTATTATTATTATTATTTATATTATTTTATTATTACAATTATTAAAGTTTTAATTATTATTTTCATTACAATAATTATTCTTTATTATTATTATTTTGTTATTTTATTATTATTTATTATTATTATTATTTTATTATTATTTATCAGAAATGGAGAGACGAGTACCTGAAGTGGAATCTTCTCAAGTTCGACAACGTCACCAGCGTCAAAATTCCGTCCGATTCCATCTGGACACCAGATCTCGTCATTCAAAATTTGTTAGTGTGTCGGATTTATGAGGGGGATGGCGTTAGGGCTTGCCCCTCCGCTCCCGCGTTATCAACATACATGTCAAGTTCTGCCAACACATACTATTATTGATAAATTATAAACATTTATTGTTCGGTAACCAGTTTTGGCCTCCTGTCTATGTTGTTTATATTCGCCCGTAGATTAGGATTAGATTAGGCTACTACTACAACAGCTTATAACTATCACTATACTATAACTAGCACTACAACTATTAATATTGCTGCTGCTACTGCTGCTACTACTACATCTGAGTGGTTAAGACACCGAAAGAAAAACTACACACATAATAATGAAATACTTACCGACATACCTACACATGCATTTGCTCCATCCGACTGAATGAATACCTTCGAACCGATATTCACTCGACTACTTTTAAATAAATGGAACATGACTGCTTATTACGTCATGTCTCTTGCCTGTGGTCGCGTTTTGTTTGCTCGTTTTTTTCCCTCCAGTTTGTTTGTATGTTGTGTAGTAGTATATTTTTTTTATCTATTTCGTTGTTTGCTTTAAATCGCCCACACATACACCTCCAACATTACACACACACACACACACACACACACACACACACACACACACATACACATAAAAACACACACACATAAAAACACACACACAAACAGTGCGGGCGACAAATTCAACGATTACATGGTCACTAACACTAAAGTAGATTCAGACGGGGCTGTCCTATGGCTCTTCCCGGCTCTCATAAAAACTTACTGCACCCTTAACGTCAAATATTTCCCCTTCGACACCCAGAAATGCAACATAACTTTCATTTCGTGGACACACCACGGTGATCAGCTGGATGTTTTGTATAGTGAAGATTTCAATAACAGTGTCTACTACATATCGAAGAATCAGGTCGGTTGAAGGAGTGGGTTTGGGATTTGAAATGAACGAATGATATTAATAATTTGAATTAATTTGTTGCGTGTGTGTGTGTGTGTGTGTGTGCGTGAATGAAAGAAATATTTGTGTGTATGTTTGTGTGTGTGTGTGTATAACAATATATGTGTATGAGCATGTGAAATTAATATTTTATTTGGTAGTTTAGTTTTTGTATTCTAAGTTTTTTTCTCTCTCAAAAGTATCACGTTTAATCAAATCAACTCAAATACGAATTAAAAAATTTGATTTCAATCAACCATCTAATCAACCAATCAATAAATCAATCAATCGATTAATGAACTAACACACCAAAAATCTATTTAGCACACACGCACGCACACACACACACACACACACGCACACACACACACTTACAAGGAATGGTCTGTGGACGTTAACACGGGCATAACGGCATACAGACAAGCCAAAAAATACGCCTGCTGCGCGGAACTCTACCCTGACGTCACCTTCACAATTCACATGCGAAGAGGAAGTCTCTTCTACGTCATCAATCTCATAGCACCATGCTTTCTCATCTTCCTGATCAGTTTCTTGGGGTTTTTCCTGCCAGTTGAATCCGGAGAAAAGGTTAGGGATGTGTTGGTTTGTTGGATTTTTTATTTTTAATGGCCGAATATTATTGATTTTGTGTTTATTTAATTAATCAGTTGATTATTTATGTTCTCTCTCTCTTTCTCTCTCTTTCTCACGCACACACACACACACACACACACACACACAGGCACACACACACACACATAATTGTAGGTAAATTTAGAAATCACCATTTTGTTAGCGTTGGTTGTCTTCTTGTTGAGAGTAGGCGAAAGTATGCCTCCAACTCCAGACTCCATTCCTATATTAGGTATAAGTGTGTGTGCATGTGCTTGTGTGTGCGTGTGTGTGATGATGACGGTGATAAAAATGATGATGTGAATAATGGCGATGATGATGAAAGTAGCAATGGCAATGAAGATCTCAAGACCCATGTATAATAAATATCACACAACAACAACATGCCAATGTTTGTTGCAAAAATAATATTGAACGAGCTACGTGGCTAGATTTGTTTTGCTTGCAGGTCCAATTATGCAAACCTGACATGATTGATGTGCAAGTTTGTTACCTTTGCAAGTGTTTTAACTATTTTCATAATAATTCTAACACCTTTTTGGATAACTATTTCCATTGACGTCATCACTTCTGTCATCATCGTCATCACATCATTAACAATATGACAGTCATGATTCTTCGTGACCATTGCCACATCATTAAAAATGACATTAACGTCACTCACCACCATCTTTGTCATCTTCCCGTCATAACATCATCAATAATGACATTAACTAGAAAAAAAGAACGAACTTAAAAAATGCGGGCTAACACTACTACCCAGGTATGTTCTTCGCGTCGACAATGGTGATGGTGAGCATTGCTCTGGTGATGGCGGTCATCGTCACAAACATCTACGCCAAGAGAAACTCAACTGAAAAATGCCCCGAGTGGGTTCTCAGTTTGGCCATCAACTGCTTGAATGCAGAGCATTTCAAGGTTGCTGATCATTTCTCCTCTATACCCAAACAACAACTGCAACAGCAAAAACAACAACAACAACAACAAAAACAAGTAAGTTCTGAGAGCGAGGAGCGAATGAGTAGGCAGAAGGAGCGGATATTCAACATCAACATGGTTCGTAGCATATCGGAAGACTCGCATTATCTTGACTATCAGCCAGCCCAACAACAACGACAACAATATTTACAAAAAACAACAAAAACTCCACAGTTTCAAAGAGTTCAACAACAACTCATGAAAGAAAGCTCTTCTAACTTTACCTTCCTCTCTCGGAGCGATCCGACTGAATTCGCAAGTTTCACGACTCCATCCTACCCCCGCACTAGGCAGGAAGCGGTTCCAGCACCGAAAAACCTTTCCATACAGACGGTCAAAAGTTTGACAGATTTTTCCGCGGTCCAAACTGATGTTGGAAGTTTCCCACGAAAGCAGGAGATCGGAAGCGTGTTCATCGGTGAGCTGCGAAGAAGTTTGAGGAGAGGAATGAGAATCGATTCCTTCGATGAATCCGTTTACGATACCGACGTCGATATTCAAGCCGGTCCCACTCTTCAACCAACATCAACCGGTACATCACTGATAAACAATGAAAACAAACCCCAGAAAAAAAGCATCTTTCAGTCAAAAAGACAACCGTTCAGAAAATGGAGGAAGCGAAAATTGGAGAATAAAACTAACAAGTTGAAATTAGAAGATAACTTGGAAAGTGTGGGAAGCAGGAGTAAGAATCCGAAGCATGCGTACCGGGCTGCTTCTTCCAAGAGCACGGATACCGACGATAGCATGGCGAGTGAAGAGCGGAAGGATAGGGATCGGATGAAGGCAGAATGGAGGTTGGCTGCCATGTTTGCTGACAGGATCTTCCTCTGGATCTTTCTCGTTCTCAGTTCAATCACTCACTTCACTTTGATCTATCAGATGTTCTGCTGATGGTTTCATCAAATTTACTAGGAGAGTGAGTGTACGTTGAATTTAAAGGTTTTTTTTTAACGCGTGAGTATTATAGCACCGAACAAATTACGTGAATGAACGAATGCTGAATTGCTTAGGGCTTTCTAACAGAGTGCATGAAAATGTTGATGTCAAGTCGAATAGTTTAATGAATGGATGAGTGCATGAATGAATTGATGAATGAATTTATGATTACTTAAATAATTTAAAAGTGAATGTATGAAAGAATGAATGAATGAATGAATGAAATAATGAATGAATGAATTAATAAATGAATGAATGCGTATGATTGCATTATTTTAGATTAGATCTTTCTAATTATTGAATATTAAAATTGATATTTCTTGTTATCGTTTTGAATTTCTTAAGCGTTTCGTGAAAGTTAAAATGAACAAATAAAAAAAAACAGATGAAAAAATGAAATTAATAATTACCTAAATATTATTTAAAATCTCTTAGTAAAAATTCTCAAATCAAATTAAACTAACCAAACCACCCTTTGACGTCATCATCATCTATGTATTTCCCAATTTGAAATAAATTATTCCATAAGTGAGTAATTTATCCTAATCATCATGAAAAGATATGATGCTATCCACATAATCGTAAAATGATCATGGATATATATCCATGAAAATGATATACTATCAATACCTATAATGGTATAAAGGTAAACTATTCTACCCTAGCAAGAGGATAAACTAATCTTATCAATGCAAATATAACTATTGAGTTAAAGTCTAAAGTTTACTAACCTTATTTTTATCTCAATAACTTGATATAATATCTCTTTTTGATACAGAGGTACTCACAGAAATCACCTTATACTGTAGAAATACTTAAAAAAATTTCGACTTTTTGACATTTTATTAAATTGAGATTATAAATATAGGTCCTTATTTTATTTCATCTCGATAACAAACACGTACCAAATGCTTATATATCTACTATTTTATTTGGGACCAAGAATTTGACAATTTTATCAGGTTTTACGAGTTTAGAAGAAAACTTAACATAGATCCAGCTCATCTCATATCTGAAATACTTGTGTCAACTTTTGACAGAAGATAACAGTGGTTACGCACACACACACACACCACACACACGCACGCACACATACATTCACATTCACACACAAACACCACACACAGGCACAGATGCTAATTATTTTGACAATGAGTTGAAAGTTCACTTTTAATCATCGATCATATGGTTCTTTTAAAATTGAAATTCAAAAAGATAAACAGATAATCGTGATACGATTTTGTTGAGAAATTCAAACTTATTTGATAATATACAACTAATATAATGTAATAATAATATGTCTGTATATACAATCATGTATGGTTGTTTAATCGAAATCTATCCTATATAAATTTGCTAAGTTTTTGTTACAAACCTGTATTTCTGTAGTAACCTTTTGTTATTATTATTAAACGGTGTCTGATTCCTGTGTTTGTGACATTAGAATTAGTTAGGAAGAGAGTAGTTAAGACAGATTTATTAATTTTGTTAATAATTCAAGATTGTTATGAGTAAAACTAAATTAAAATTTATTAATTAAAATTAATAAATAAAATTGGTAATAAAATAAATTAACACTTGCGATATTAAATGATGATCGCCGCTTACGTTAGCAGTGCAGCTACTGCTTTGGCTCTTTTGTGTCATGTGATAGCAGCAGCAGAAGAAGACGTAGTAGTATTAAACAGTGACAACGACCAGAACACAATCTGTGATGTCAATCCCTATGTATATAGATTCGATTGCCACCCCGAATACTATTCCTCTCCATCCAGGTGTAACAACAGGGGCTGCTGTTGGCGAGATACTTTGAGTAGTAGCAGTAGCAGTATTAATGATGACAGTATTAATACTATTGTCAATAATGATGGAAAAAGTAGTAGCAAAATTGGCAGACCATACTGCTACTTTCCTGTCAACTATCCTTCGTACAAAGTCACTCAGTGGGCAGAAACTAATTATGGTTACAGAGCTGTCTTGATCAAGGAGGCATCATCACCCTGGCCTAATGATATTCTAAATTTGACTCTTTATATTTGGTTCCAAAGTCAAACAGTCCTTCATTTCAAGGTTTGCAACCTTTTTAAATTTAAATTTTTGATAAAAACTAATTTTTGTTATGAATAATCTTCTTATGATAATTAAAAAAAAATTTTTTTTATTAGCATTTTTAAAAATTTTTTCTAGATTGTGGATTCGAAAAATGCAAGGTACGAGGTCCCAATCGAAATGCCTAAGCCACCAGCTGTCAAACCATCAACAACTGATTATTCTGTAGAATATTTCTCGTCACCTTTTGGTCTCAAGGTTCTCAGAAAAAGTACTGGAGCAACATTGTCAGTACATTTTTTATCAAAATTTTTCTTTGAAATAATGCTGCATAATTTAATTTTAATGATGATTAAAAAAGAGTTATTAAAACATTCATTTTCCATTAAAATTTTATTCAAAATGGTTCTATTTTTTAAAAAATCATAAAAATAAATTTAAAAAAAAAACTTAGACGGTTACCATAAATTTCACAAAATTTTGTTTTAATCTTATAAAAAAAAACAAAATAAATTGGAAAAACCCAGATTCAACAGTATAATCTCGACAGCGCCCCTCATATATGCGGATCAGTTTCTGCAGATTAGTACACTTCTCGATTCGCCTTGGCTGTACGGTCTGGGGGAGAACTACGGCCCACTCCTCATCGACGCCACCCAGTATCGAAAGTTCACCTTCTGGGCTCGCGATCAAATTCCTATCGTCTGTTTTTTAGGAAGATTTTTAAAAATGAATAGTTTACAGTCTATAATAAAATATTATTTATTTATTATTATAAATATTTATTATTAGTATTATTCAATTATTTATTGTTATTAATTAAAGTGTTTTAAATTGTATTTTTCACGAAAGATGCATTCAAATTTGTATGGGGCCCACCCATTCTACATGAACATTGAAAAGAGCAAAGAGGCCCATGGAGTTTTCTTTCTTAACAGCAATGCAATGGGTAGGTAAGCTGGGTCGTCATCATTTCAATGACGATGCTGTGATGTAATGATCACAGAGACTGGCGCTTCTGTTGTAGTGACAGAGTGTGAATACAACGAGCAAATTATTCTCTTTGCACGAATACTTTTTGTATTTTTATTTGTTTGAATTTTGAAAATCATAATAATCCAAAATAAACTTACAATACTTCAGAGGTGGATGTTCAGCCCGCACCGGCTCTGACCTTCAGAACGATAGGAGGCGTCCTTGACTTCTACATCTTCACCGGGCCAACCCTGGAGAATGTCGTGCAACAGTACGTTCAGACGATCGGCATTCCCGCCATGCCGCCATTCTGGGGACTGGGGTTCCATCTCTGTAGGTGGAAATATAACAACATCGACAGGTTGAAGACCATCATCAAGAGAAATAAAGATATTGGCATTCCATACGTTTGTTTTGCTTTGTTTGTTTTATGGTTTTTATTTGGTTTTTCTTCATTTTTCCTCCTATACAAAAATAAGTTTGTTTTATTTTCACACACACACACACACACACACACACACACACACACACACACACACACACACACACACACACACACACACACACACATACACAGGACGTTCAATGGAGTGATATAGATTATATGGAGAATGAAAAACTCTGGACTTACGACAAGGTCAATTATAATGGCTTGCCTCAGCTAATAGACCAATTACATAAGGACACTATGAAATATATTATCATACTGGTCAGTTTTGGTGACGTCATTGTTACTAATATATATTATTATTATTATTATTATTGTTGTTATTATTATTATTAATTTTGATGTTCTTGTCATCAAAGCAACGACAGCAATAACAACAAGAACGTTAAAAATGATAATAATACCTAAAACTTTGTACACTCTGAGATTTTAACTTTGATTATTATTTTCTAACAATCCATAATAAGAGTCTTTTTAATTATCTCTAATTATAGTTTGTATCAATTTTTTATCTGATGCCTCTGATACTATATCCTTTTTTGATAGTGTGTTATCTGATAAAATTTAAGACCAGTCGCTATCATTCATTCTTACTTTTCTAATCGGCTCATATCAGCACAGGCCAAAGTTCCATTGGATGAAATTCAATCAGGGAAATTACTGAAAATTAAAACATAAATAAAAAACGAACATCGTCATCATAATCACTAACATCATCATCATCAAAACCGCGCAGGACCCGGGTATAAGTGACAAATACCCCGGCAGGTACCCACCATACGATCGAGGGGTACAACAAAACGTATTCATACGAAACTATACCGGGCATATTCTTCAGGGGCAGGTGTGGCCCGGGCCGACCGTCTACCCTGATTTCACCCATCCCAATGCTACTAGCTGGTGGCTGAAAGATGCCGAAGATTTTCACAAAGTTCTACCGTATGACGGACTGTGGATTGTTAGTTGTGTAGTAATATTTGAAGTAGTAGTAAAGGTAGTCGCAGAAGTAATAGTAGAAAGAGTAGTAGTAGTAGTAGTAGTAGTGATAATAATAATAATGGTAGTAGTAGTAGTAGTAGTAGTAGTAGTCATAGTAGTTGAAGTAATAGTAGTAGTAATAGTAGTAGTAGTAGTAGTAGTAATAATAATAGTAGTAGTAGTAGTTGAAGTAATAGTAGTAGTAGAAGTAGTAGTAGTATATTCTACAAAAAAATTTTAACGAAACCAGATATTTGATTTTCTCATTTTAAAACTAAAAAAGGACATGAACGAGCCATCGAATTTCGTCTCCGGGTCTTCAGTCGGATGTACGATGAATAATCTGGATCGTCCTCCCTTTGTTCCTGGTTCGTATCCACATCATGTCGTCATCGTCGTCGTCATCGTTATCCTAGTCGTATCATTATCATTACTATTTATGCTATCATTGTTCTTATCATCATTATCCTAACAATTATTATAATAATAATAATAATAATTATTATTATTATTTACTCTTATCATCGTCGTCATCATCTTTCTCATCATTCACGTCATCACCATCATCGTCCTTATAATATATATATTATAATATAATAATTATAATAATTTTAAAATATGATTATCTTGTGTCCAATTAATCATTATTATCGTCCTTATAATATATATTATAATATAATAATTATAATAATTTAAAAATGTATTTATCTTTTCCAATTAATCCCGAAGCCATAAGTGGCGATGGAACATTAGAGTTTAAGACACTGTGTGGTTCAGCCAGGCAGCACGTATCGACCCACTACAATCTTCATAATATGTACGGTCTACACGAAGCTATGGCTACTCACGAGTATGTTTTTTGTTGTTTTTGGGGTGTTCTTGGTGATTTGGGTGTTTTGTTGGTGATTTTGGTGTCCTGTTGGTGTTGATATGTTTAGTGTTGTTGTTGTTGGTGGTGCTGATGTTGTTGTTCTTGTGGTTGATGTTGCTGTTGTTAATGTTATGTTTCGTGTTGATGTCATTTTTAATGTGTACATTTTCTACCAATGTGTTTACATCTTTAATGTCATATTTTTTATCTTCTTTTTTTGTGGTTTATTTTCACGGCGTGTTTTTTCTAGATGACATCGCATTACGTAATGTCACACTACATCAAGTTACGTCGCACGCACGCACACACGCACACGCGCACACACACACACACACACGCACACACACGCGTTACGTCACACAGAGTCCTCTTAAAAATAATGAAGAAGAGGTCCCTGTCGGTATCTAGATCGACTTTTCCAAGTCATGGAAAGTACGGCCAGCATTGGACTGGAGACGTCAGAGCAACCTGGACCGATCTTTATTATTCTATCCCAGGTTTTTTTTTATTCGTTCATTCATTCATCCATTCGTTCATCCATTCATTCATTCATTCATTCATCCATTCATTTATTCATTCATTCATTAATTCATCTATTCATTCATTCATTCATTCATTCATCCATTTTTCCATCCATTCATTCATTTATTCATTCATTCATTCATCCATCCATTTATTTATTCATTCATCCATTCATCCATCCATTCATTCATTCATTCATTCATTCAATCATTCGATCAATCATTCCTTCTTACATTCACGGCGATGATGAGGAAGATGATGCGAGTGATGAACGATAGCTTAAAAGTTGATGATGAAGATGAAAATGATGAGAAGAAGAAATTTAATGGTGGAAAAATTGGTCATTCATCATCACGTAGGCTTGTTGAACTTCCAAATGTTTGGCATTCCATTCGTCGGGGCTGATGTGTGTGGATTCTCTGGCAACTCTAATGAAGAACTCTGCATCAGATGGACTCAACTCGGCGCCTTCTACCCATTTATGAGAAATCATAATGATGGAGATAGCATTGTAAGTTCTTTGGTTGGGATAGTATTGTTAGTTCTTTGGTTGGGATAGTATTGTAAGTTCTTTGGTTGGGATAGTATTGTTAGTTCTTTGTTGGAGATAGCATTGTAAGTTCTTTGGTTGGGATAGTATTGTTAGTTCTTTGATGGAGATAGCATTGTAAGTTCTTTGGTTGGGATAGTATTGTTAGTTCTTTGGTGGAGATAGTATTGTTAGTTCTTTGTTGGAGATAGTATTGTTAGTTCTTTGTTGGAGATAGTTATGTTAGTTCTTTGGTGGAGATAATATTGTAGATTCTTTGGTAGAGATATATTTTAGTTCTTTGGTGTTTTTTTTGTGATTTTTTTATAATTTTTTTTGGGCGGTCAATTCGTAGGCAAATTTATTTGGTTGGTTTGTTGATTATTGGACAGTTTTTTGTTGACTGGATAGTTGTACGATTGACCCTTAGATTGATTGGTTGGTTGATTGATTGATTTGATCGATTAATTGATTGACAGATCGATCGATCGATTGATCGATTATTTGATTGACTGATTGATTGAACGATTAATTGATTGATTGATCGATAGAATGATTGATTTATTGATAGTTTGTTTGATTGATGAACTTTTAATACGCCACTTTTAATACGCCAGGACCAAGATCCAGGAGCGTGGGGTACATCGGCCCAGAAGATAATGAAAGAGGCCATCGAACTTAGGTATTCACTCCTGCCCTTCATGTACACTCAGTTTTATTTGAACCAACTAGATGGAAGCCCCGTCATCAGACCGTTGTCCTTCGCGTTAGTCTTCAGTCCTCTTTTCAAATTTAATTTCTTCTCAACTATTTTTAGCACTTACGAAGAACGATGATAACAAAAAGTTTTAATAAATGCTAATAATTTTGTTTGAATAATATAATTTCGATTAATGTTTTTTGGTAATTTTTAATTAAATTGAAGTTTCCAAGCTGACGTTGAAACGTACAAGATTGACAAACAGTTCTTGTGGGGTAGCTCTCTACTCATTAGTCCCATCCTCGAGCGGGTCAGCCATCTTTTATCTATTTTGTCATCATCAGTATCATAATTTTTGTCTCCATCTTCATCATCACCATCATCATTTTGACATCATCGTCATTTTTGTTGTTGAACTTTCCTTGGTTAATGTGATTACGACCACCTACATTTTTTCTCTTACCAATCTTCTTTGAGTCCATTTTTATCACCATCACAAATTTGTCGTCATCTTCACCATCTATATGAAAATACCATTTTCTCAAATCAGGGTAAGTTCAACTTGACGGCCTACTTCCCAAGCGGCGGATGGTACGACGTGTTCAACCACTTCAAGTTAACGAGCGTCGGAAGGTACTACTACTTGAACACCCCCCTCAACAAAATAAACCTCCACCTAAGAGAGGGAAATATCATCCCGTGGCAACAGTCAGCTGTTACTACGGCCAAAAGGTTGGCGCTACGTAATTATTTTAATAATTACTCTTTAATAATTTTATTCAAAAGTTTATATTTTAAAAGTTGTCTATATTGTTGTTAATTTCGATGTTTAATTGGTTTATACTTTATTAATTGGTTTATACTTTATTATGTTTCATTTGACTTGAAAAAAATTCATGTTTAAAAGTCGCAAAAATGCGATCAACTTGATGGCCGGTTTGGATACGAAACAAGCAGCTACTGGCCAATTGTTTTGGGATGATGGTGACTCGTTAGGTGTGTTTTTACGTCTGTGACTGTCTGTGTGTGTTCGTCTGTACGTGTTTGTTTGTGTGCGTGAGTGTTTGTCTCTGTGTGTGTGTCTGTCTGTGTTCGTTTGTGTGCCTGTGTCTCATGTGTGTGCGCGTGTATTTGTGATTTGTGGGACTATGTGTTCGTCTTTGTGCTTTTTTTGTGTGTTTGTCTGTGTGTTCGTCTCTGTACTTCTGTGTGCGTGTCTGTGTGCGTATATGTATATTTATGATGATGACGAGGAGGTTTAGGATAATGAAATTGATGGTGATGATGATTATTATGATGATAAAAATGATGGTGAAGGTCGTGATGATGTTTGTTATGAAGTTATAAAGTGAGTTACATTTTGAACCTTTTGTGGAAAACAAATTTTCAGACACCATTGGAAAGAAGTTGTACACTCTTATAAAGTTCACAGCTTCCAGAGTAAGTTTACTACTACTGCTACTACTACTGCTACTACTACTACTGCTAATAATAATAATAATAATAATAATAACAACAATAATAATAACAATAGCAATAATATTAATCATGGTAATGATAATTTTATTGTTTATATTACAATGTTAATCACTTTTAATGAACGCAAAATTTCCCAGGGCACTTTATACGGTAAAGTACAATTGAAGGGCTACAGGCCGGTTGACGAGTTGAGGCTGGGTTCGATCGCGATCCTGGGTGTCGATAGGAAACCGACTACGCTGCTGCTCAATAACAAGACGAAAGAATTTCAGTGGAGGGATGATGTTAATGTAAGATTTGTTGAAAATGCGCTATATAAATTGATTAGCTGGTTTGTTGATTGATTGGCTGGTTGATAGCTTGATTGATAGATAGATAGATGGTTGGATGGATAAATGGATAGATGGATAAATGGATGGATGGGTGGATGGATAAATGGATAAATGGATGGATAAATTGATGGATAAATTGATGGATGGATTGATATATTGTTAATTTATCGGTAAATTGATTGACTGATTGATTAAACATCTTCTGACACAGGAAATATTCATCACGAACGCAAATGTAACACTACTGGAAGAGTTTACCACCGTATGGATTTAATAATCCTTACCTGATCAGTACAAACGTGCTAAAAATGTACTTAACATTTTTAAAATTAACTTATTAATTCGTAACAGTGTACTTAGTAATTTAAGTGGATTCATTTTTTATTAAATTAAAGGAATGTACTTTTGGACATAATTTTTAACGTTTTAATCCTTCCCGTTACTGGCGTTATTTCCGTTAAAATACGATTTCATTGATTTATTTTATTGCGGCTGGTTTCAGCGAACGTGTTTATGATTTTTTCAATTCACTTTATTGAATGTATGATTTATTAATTATATTTTATTTAAATGCTACTTGCTTGCTTAAGATCGAAAGATAATAAAAATTATTAATTATAAAAATATAATTATTTATTCAATTAATATGATTAATTGATATTTTGAAACCACACACACACACACACACAGATATATATATATATATATATATATATATATATATATATATCATATTGTTAATAAAATATTAAGGCCAACTTCACACTAAACATATCTATCGCTTAGCATTCGCAGATAATAACGCAAATATGGAGTTAATTAATTTAATTGATGTATACATCAAGACACATGCGTAAAAAAGTAAAAATTCATACAGACACACTCACGCACACACACACACACACACACACGTCTATATAGACAGGCACGCAAGCATATATAATACTACAAACATACATACATACACGCATATATAACAGACACGCAATGTTTGTCCTGTGTATAAATGCCACAGGGTAACCATTTTACGTTCGTACGTGAAGGTGGTGTTTTCTAGGTCGATGAACTCGTCATATAGGCGCCATTGATATAATTATGCGTAAAATTCACCAGCAATGATAAAAAATGCCTGTTTTTCTGTCTTTCCTCAGTTGTTCTTTTGTAGTTTTTGACAAACCTAAGCCATATGGTGAAAGTATAGGATGGCTTACTTGAAGCTTTTTAACTGACTTTCAATTTCAAATTCAAAAAATTTGTGTTGGATTAATGAGTAAATTTAATTTTTAATAATAGTAATTGTAAAAAACAATAATGATGATGATGAGGATGATGATGATCGATTACAATGAACTGACGATGATAATGAAGATGATGACGATGATCATCACGAAGTGATAGAATGATGATGCTATATGATGGTTGTCGTATTACGTTCGTATTTTTTCTTTCGTCTGCGTTTGATTACATCCCAAAAAATTTGATTTTTGAAACACCTTTTTTGACTCGTTGACGAATGAATAATTATAATTATTATAAATATATATTATTATTATTATTATTAGATTAAAGTAATAATGTTAAAATTATTAAATATAATAGCAGTTTATAATTATTACTGAAACGTAGGCAAAACAATGTCAGAAATGACAGAACCAACCTAAATTAAAGAAAAATGAAAAAATTGGATACGTCTTAATAACATGATGTCACTGAATTCAAATCATCGTTGAAACCAGCACTTCCTCCACCTCAAACAACGCATCGAAATCTGTGTCCACTCCAGCAACAGTCATGTATTCAACTGACTACACGCATTTGCAACAAATTTTCACAACATCAACATCATCCACACCAGCAGTAACAACAACAGCAACAACAAACATATCAATGTTATTAACAACGACGACCTCTCCTTACACTAACAACTTCAACATTGAACAGTTAGCAATTGAGCAGTTGGATACATTTGACCTTCTGGTCGGTTTGTGGATTCCAGGACTGCTCTGCCTATTCGGTATAATCGGTAACCTACTCTGTCTGTGGGTTCTCTCACAACATACCGGCGGATCGGTTCTCGGCAGTTCTTCGTCTACATTCACATCTCTCAAAGCTCTGGCCTTTTCAGATTTGCTCGTTTTGACAGCAGCAACAGCCCAGCAAATCCTACCGATGATTTGCAAGCACGTTCAATCTTTAGGAAGGTTTTGTTTGGAGGGTATTGGATATTTGCGGCACTACTCGTGGCCGGTTGTGTGCATTGGACAGATGGTGTCCGTCTGGACAACTGTGCTGGTTTCCGCCGAACGATTCGTGGCGATTTGCGCCCCGAATCGTTTGATCGTCTTGCCAAATTGTTCCGAGAACGATGAGACGAGATGTAAGGTACGATTGTCTATCGTTTTCATCTGGTTGGTGTCCGTTTTCTTCAACATCCCTCGATTCTTTGAGTTCGTTTCTGTAGTCGATCGTGTCCCGGTGCACAATGCAAACTGTGCTAAGTTCAACAGAGACAACTGCAGCTACTACAGTAACTACAGCCACCACAACAACAATTATTACCACAACAACTACTTCAGCAACACTAATTTAAACAATGAAACCGTTGCAGGTGACTGGTACTCAAACAAGAAGAGCTTCGTTAACAAACAACTTCATAATAATAACAACAATTCAAAAAACAAGGAAGTTGGTGATGGCGGAGGCGAGGTTGTTCACGTCAATGACGTCATTCTCGAAGCTGATGACGTCACTGTTGGTGAAAGATGTTGGGAGAATGTGACGCTGGTGATCATGGTGAGGAGTGATTTTGGGGAGGACGAGATCTACAGGTTTGTCACGTGATTCCCTAAAGTAATAATAATAATAATAATTATTATTATTATTACTATTATTATTACTTTTCATTTATGCTTAACCGTTTTATATTAATATGAAAATATAACGGGACATGTTACAACCAAATAAATTCAAATAATAATAATAACAATAAAATAAGAATAATAATAGTAATAATAATAATAATACTAGAATAATAAAAATAAAGCGATTTGAAATGGAAGAAACGAAGTTGAAAAGAAATGAAAAAATTTTAATGTTCAGCGGTCCAAATGTTGGCAGTCTATTGATTACATCTCCATTCATTACATGCAGCGCACTGCAATGAGAAAATTCAATGGAGGAAATATAACACGAAATAAAATTTCGCCAAAATTTCTCAAAGTATTAATTCGCCGACCATAGGCTTATTGGTGGTGATATCTTACTCGTTTTTATGATTTTGATGTTGATTAGCAGTAGCCACAGCAGCTGCTGCAGCAGCAGTAGTCATAGTAGTGAAGTTGGTATTAGCAGTAACAGTAGTAGTAGTGAAGTTGGTAGTAGTAGTAGTAGTAGTAGTAGTTGAAGTAGTAGTAGTAGTAGTAGTAGTAGTAGTAGTAGTAGTAGTAGTAGTAGTAGTAGTAGTAGTAGTAGTAGTATGAAAAATACTTAGCCTCGTGGAACAAGTGAAAAGTTTGTTTTCCTGGATTTAAATTTTTAAACATGCTCAACTGACACCTTGTAAAGAAAACGAGTCTACTGCTAATGATTGTTCAAAAATCATTCAAAAAAGTGAACTAATTATTTTTTTGTCGAAACATCTTAGTAGTAATAGTAGTAGTAATAGTAGTAGTAGTGGTAGTAGTATAGTAGTAGTAGAAGTAGTAGTAGTAGTAGTAGTAGTAGTAATTGAAGTAGTAGTAGTAGTAGTAGTAATAATAGTAGTAAAGTAGTAGTAGTAGTAGAAGTGGTAGTAGTAATAGTAGCAGTAATAGTAATAGTGGTACTAGAAAAGTAGTTGTAGTAGTGGTAGTAGTAGTAGTAGTAGTGTAGTAGCAGCAGTAGTGCAGTAGTAGTAGTAGTAGTAGTAGTAGTAGTAGTAGTAGTAGTAGTAGTAGTAGTAGTAGTAGTAGTAGTAGTAGTAGTAGTAGTAGTAGTAGTAGTGTAGTAGTAGTAGCAGCAACAGTTAGTAGTAGTTGTTGTTGCACGTTTTCCAAATTTTTTGTGTTTTTATGTTTTTCAAATTTCTCAATTTTAAAATAATTGGTCTGTTCGGTTTTAAAGATTGTTTTCTTGTTATTTCCTCGTTACTCAACTCTTTTTTTTCTGTATTTTTTTCTTGTTCTCTCTCTCTCCCCCTCTCTCTTTCTCTCTCTTACACTGTCTTTCACAGTACTTTATTCAAACTATTGAATGACATTTAATTTTGTAAAATTAATTTTATATATTATTGTTATAATAATCTCACAATTCAATAACATCAATTCAGCTAAATTTGTTTAAATCGCTGAATGCTACAAGTTCGCAAACACGTATCTAAGTATAAGCATGGCGTGTTAATGTGTGGATTCATTATATCAGCCTTTTGTTCGCAAAAAAGGGTCGCCAGTCAGATATTATGACCAAAAAAACAGCCACAAATCTCAAATCTTAAAAAATTCTCCCCCGGGTCGAAAGAATTTGTTATTTAAATACATATGCGGCCCTTCAAAGGTAAAATAGTTTTCAATGCGGCCCTCACAGCAAAAAGTTTGCCCACCCCTGCGCGAATTCATCGTCTAAATTTTACCTTCCACTACATACTTTTCAAGAATATTTGTACTTATAAATAATATCAAACCGAAAGTAAAATTTACTGAATGTTTGAAGTGTTCAATTTTGAGTTACTTTAACATTCAATTTCAGACCCGTAACACCAAATACATATTGCTATTTCAATACATACACTCAAGTAATGAATAATTTTTCTGTAATAAAAAGCTTTTGAAATGATAAAAATGGTTGAAAAGTTTCTTTAAAGCACTTTCACGACTTCAAACTGCTGAGTAACTCTGCCAGCATCCATTAAGGTCTTATGCACACGTGTATATATTTTTTAATTTAACATTTTTATTCATGTTCTTTTTTGAGACCGTGCAAGTGCATAGAGTACTGCGTTCGAGTTTACTTTCCAACGCATACTTTTCAAAAGTATCTTCTTTACTTATATGTAACATCAGAACGAGAGTAATTGATGTAAAATTCCGGGTATATATTTAGGCATGTGAACAACTCGCGAATGTATGTCAACCTTTACAAATTTGTTAGAATTTAAATATATAAATACACACACATACGCACACACCACACACTCACACACACACATGTTCATTTATACACACAAATACACATATACACACACATACATAGATACACACACACGTATATATACACCACGAAGGTACGTATCTTTATACCTTTATAAATATGTCATGGGTATTATGTCAGTGTGTATTCTGGGCATGTACGTAATTAGGGAAGGTGAACCTTTTTTCTTTGTATTTTTTGTTTTACTTTTTGTTGTATTTTTCGTTTGTATTTTTTGTTGTATTTTTTGTTGTATTTTTTGTGGTATTTTTTGTATTCTATGAATATAATTGTTTTTTTCAATAATGTTTTTGATGTTTTTATTAAATATTTTTATAAACATTCCCACTGATACGCTTTTATCACTATCGCCATTATCTTCTTCTTTTTTTTGTTATTATTATTGTTATAATTATTATTATTTTCGTTGTTGTTATTATTTATTATTATTTTTCTTCTTATATGAGGCACGTTGAACTACGGTTAATAAATAATTCAGCAACTTTAGTTTCTGTTTTTTTCTCTCTTTCTCTCTCTCTTTCTCTCTCTCCCCCCTCTCACTCACTTGTATATACTTATAAATATAATTACACCGGCAAGATGGTGTAATGGTTAGTGAATGCAAAGTGATTTCCGCTTCCTTTTCACATGTGTGTGTGCGTGCGTGTGTGTGTGTGCAACAGAAATGACGTCATCTGTAGTAAATAAGTCATAGTTTTTTTATCCTTGAATGGACGAAAGAATGAATAAACAAATGAAGGAAAAAATGAAAGAATGAAGGTACGATGGAATGAATTATTTACGATGACCCGGGCATAAAAACCAAACTGGACGGAATGGTTGATTCGTAGTGCTAATTTTATTTAATTGGATTAACGTTGAGAAATTTTATGTAACTATCAAAGGTGGAGGTCATTTTAAAAAGTAAAGGTTAAAGTTCAAGGTCACTGTTTATTCTAACTTGTTCAATGTTAATGAAAGTGAGTGAGTGAGTAAAATGGCCAGATGGATTGATGAATGCATGAAAAAATGTATGAATTAATTGATGTATGGATGAATGAGCAGATGAATGGAGAGATGGATAGTTGGATAAACGAAACGATTGTAGAATGAATCTAATATGAATAAATGAACGGATGAATGAATGAATGAATTGATTAATGAATGAATGAATAAACAAACAAACGAATGAATGAATAAAAGAATGAATGAATGAAAATAACGGTGGAAAAAAGTATTTTGAAAATAGTGAATTGCTGTTTTCAATTTTTCTTGGAGTTAAAAATTACCTTCATAAAATCTTCTTAGAAAATGATTGTACAAGTGCAGACAAGTTCATTAAAACTTCAAAATATTTTCATTAGGTAGAAAATTGAAATTTAAAAAATAGTACACAAAAAATATTTTTTAAATGAACAAAATTTAACCAAAAAAAATTAAAAAGACGACAAAAGAAAAACAAAAACCCGCGAGTGAGTCATATCGGTCAGAAGATTTCATGACAAAGTTGCCTTAGCAATTTTTTTTATTTCAATAGGAAATGAAGACGTTAGACTCACACTCACACACACACACACACCCACACAAACAAACAAACACACACGAAACGAAACGAAACAAAAGTTTGTTTGCTTCTCAAGATTTAAAACAGCAGCAAAAAAATTATCTGGTATGGCCACCTAGACAGAAATGTTCTTAGTATAAACAAAAATGTTCAGAAACTAATATAAAAAAAAGGTTCTATGTTTAAACAAAAGTTTCAGTAACTAATATACCAATTATCTAAACAATCCATGAAAGGCTTGTTGGATGTTAGTTGTTAGTAAACGATCACTCGACTATGTTAGCAAAAGAGGTGTTAGCTGTTAGTAACAATGATTCTGGGGTTTACATTAAATTTCATGAATTATTTAGCAAAAGTTATCTAATGTTATGAATAACAATGCTTACGCTTAAGAAGTATCAATTTATTTCTTACTTAAAATTAATTTTGAATATGTTAGTTTTTATTTAAATGTTTTCATCGATCTGACATAGCAAGAAAGATTTTAAATTTTTCTTGAACGAAAATATGTTAAATTCATTAATTAAGAATCTTTGTTTCAGTAGGTTGTTCCATATTCTGGATACACAAGAGAACATCGCGTTGGCTTTGCTTTTGTTTGACGCCATGGAATGCAAACATCTAGTCGACTGAGTTGGTTTGTAGTATTTTTTGAATGATGATGGCAGTTGGTTCAACAACTATTTGAAAGCAAAGATCGCAAAGTACAAAATATTTATTCAGACTATCAAAATCTAATTTATTTGTTGCTTTGAGGAGCCTGATTGCATGTTCACGACTGTGCAACTTTCTTATCAGACGGACCGCTCTTTTCATCAGGATTTTGATCGGGTTTGTTGTCGTTTTGCAAGTTGATGTCCACACCAGGCTGCAATATGTGGCATGGGCCACACAGAGCGACTTTTAGATGGTATTCAAGCAATTTCTGGGCAATATGTGACGCAATTTGTTCAAGGTACCAATCGCTTTTGAAAATTTGTTTGCGATGTTAGAGACGTGGCACTTGAATGTCAGCTCTTGTAGTCAAGTGTTACCCAAAGAAATTTTGCTGACACACACACACACATACACACACGCGCGCGCGCGCGCGCGCGCTTTTATACACACTCACACGCACACACACTCGCACGCACATGCAAACTTGAATATAGTGACCATAGAGAATTTCGAAAACGATTAATTTGTGTTAAATTAACGATTGAATCTTTCTCCATTAAAATCACATTAGGTAAAATATTTTTTCATAATTTTTCTAGATTAAGATTTAAATCTTGTATTATTTTTTCAAAAAAAGCAAAACAAATTTCAAAGTAATTTTTGCGCGCGAACAAATAACCAATCACAATCGCGAAACGCAGAAAACTGACACGAATATCCTGAAACTTAGGCATAATTTATTGCGTCAAGAAAAAGCAAATAAGGAAACGAACATGCCAGGTCCCTTGTGAAATTTATTAGACTGCTGATTTATGGCTTTACCAATTATATATCTGTGAGTAAAGAGGGAAAGAGAGAGAGAGAGAGAGGAGAGAGAGAGAGAAAGAGAAAGAAAAGAGAGAGAGAAAGAGAGAGAGAGACAGACAACATTAGGATAAGTTGTAAAAGAAGGAATAATTTTGTTTTGAGGAATCAATGTATTAAACTTGACTGTTCTATACTAACTTTCTAAAATTTTATTTTTGTACATAAAAAAAAGAGGAAAAGCTACATAAGAGGTATATAGCTCATGTATAAAACTACATCAATTCATGTTTGTAACTTTTCCAACACTTTGAAATTTAAAATTTTCACCGTAAACAAATTTAAAAGGTCGATAACACATAAATGCACTGTGTTGTTGTACGCTAAATATCCGTCAAACCAACATTGCGCCTGAAAACATTGTCAATTTAACTAATTGATTCGAAGTGTGATGAAATGATGGTCTTATTGTGTGTGTGTTTGCTGTTTGTAACTGACTTTGTATGTAGAGTTTGTATGCTTTGTTGTTTGTTTGTACTGTTTGTTTTGTATCTTATTTATCTGTGTATATTTGTGTGTGTGTTTATTGCATTGCATTGTATCTTGTATATGTATATTTCATTTCCTGTTTGTTTGCATGTTTGTTTGTGAAAGGATCCGTCTTCGTTTGAACCTGGCCTCTGTTACTTTAGAGACATGCGCCTTAATCATCACACCACCATCATCTTGCCTTATCTTACTTGATACTTAGTCTACGCTATTTTGCCCAGAACATAAATTGATCAATTTTTTCTAGCAAATTTTCAAAAGTGACTTATAAACGTAAGCTGAATGCTAATGGCTCGAAGATAATTTAGGTGGAGGACCATTTCTTTATTACTTCTTATAAGGGCCATGTATATTTTTTGTGTTTATTTCATTTTCATTGAAGTTCATTTATTTATATTATTCTATTGTAAAAGTTAAATCGTTTCAATACATTAGAATGATGATGAAATGCTGCTTTCCTCTCATCATGTTTTTGTTACAAATATGGTTTTGAGGTAGTTGTTACCGTTGTTGTTGTATTTGTTGTTGTTGTAGTAGTTGTTGTTGTAATTGTTGTTGTTAATGCGTAAATGTTTTGTCGTTGGTCTTAATAGTTGTTAAAGTTGTTGTTAAATGTTTTCTTTGATGTTAATTTTATGTTTCAAGTTTCTAACAATTTTGTGCGTTATTTGTCTTAACTTTCAACAACAACTTCTGTTGTTCGGTTGCAGCAACAGTTGCAGCAACAATTGAAGCAACAGTTAAAGCAACAACATATCAAGACATTATACTTTATTTTCAGCAAATGTTTATGACCTGAGAGGGTGTTTATATTTTTTTGGTTTTAATTTTTAATTTTCTACAAAAAAAAAATTTTTTCTTCACAACAACCAGCCAGTAAGTTTCTACAAAATTTTTTGATCCTTAATAATAAATAACAATAAATAAATAAATGTTTTTTTACTGAGATGCTACAGTTAAATTTTCATATTTTGTCTATAAGTTAAATTAAGAAAACATGTCAAAAATAATTACGTGAATGATAAAATCAAAAAACACACAAAAATACAATTAAAACAATTCAAAATTAAGAATAAATGAAATAAACTATCGACCCACCAGGTACCTCTACAACACCATTCTATTTTGCTTGGTCATCTTCGCCATTCCATTCGCCGTCCTAACTTACCTCAACTATCGTCTGGTCAGTACGATTAAAATAGCTAGAGCAAGCTGGACGAAGCTGAATAGAAATCAAAAAATTGAGCTAAAGGCAGCTAAGCTGCCGCTTGTCATCGTAGCTGTGTTTTTCGTGTGCGCTACTCAATCGTTTGTGTCATTCTTGCTGGACGCCATGTTTGTGGAGGATGAAGATGTCGGAGTTTGGTTGCAGGTTGGTTGGATTGGCCCGAGTGCTTTGTTGGTCGGTTGGTTTGAATGATTGGCTGGCTGGATGATTGATGAATGGTTGGTTGGCTGGTTGATTGTTTGGATTGGCCCGACTGGTCGGTTGGTTTGTTTAAATGATTGGCTGGCTGGGTGATTGATGAATGGTTTGTTGACTGGTTGGCTGGTTGGTTGGCTGGCTGGTTGAACAATTGGCTCGATGTTTGGCTGGTAGGTTAGTTGAGTGTGCTGTTTCGTTTTACGTATGATTAGTTTGAAGAGAACAGTTTTACGATTGATAAGTCAGTTGTATGATTGATCAAAAACGAAAAAACAAATTTATGACAAATAACATACATAAATAAAGTTATAAATAAGTAAACTGCCTCATTAATAATATTCAGATGAATCTTTCTAATAAGACGGCATGTTGATGGAGAAAAATTGTGCTTACCACAAATGCATCAAAGCACGCCTGTCATCAGCATCTTTCATCTTTACGTGTCTGTCTGTCTCTCTGTCTGTCTGTCTTCGTCTTTCTAACTCTAACTCTCGCGCTTTCTCTATTTTTTTTCTCTCTCTCTTTTTCTCTTCTTTTTTACACCTTTTCTTTTTTTTTATTTCGTCTTTCTATTTTTTTTTATCTATTCATCTTTCGTCTCTCTCTCTCTCTCTCTCTCTCTCTCTCTCTCTTTCAGGTTTTCCTTTTGTATACATATTTTATTTTTTTATTTTCACACATTTTACTTATTTTTTGTTTTTCAGAACTGCTGTTCTTTTTTCTCTCTCTCTCTTTTTTCTTTTTTATTTTCCTCTTGCTATTTCTCTCTTTCTCTCTCTTTTTCTTTCCCTCTTCTCTCTTCCATTTTCTTCTCCAACTACCAACCAACCAACCAACCAACCAATCAACAACCAACCAACCAACCAACCAACCAACCAACCAACCAACCAACCAACCAACCAACCAACCAACCAACCAACCAACCAACCAACCAACCAACCAACCAACCAACCAACCAACCAACCAATCAACCAACAAACCAACCAACCAACCAACCAACCAATTAGCCAGCCAGCCAACCAACCAACCAACCAACCAACCAACCAATCAGGCATACACGGCAATATCAAACGTCCTGGTAATCCTTAACTCCGCCGTTAATTTCTTATTGATGTTTTTCGCCGGGAACCGTTTCCGGCGGATGTTGTTCGTTGCGATGCACTTCCGGTCAAGAAAATCTGCTTCAAATGT